CCCCCAAAAATGATTTGTCAGATTAAAGAGGAAGAATCAAGTCATTTCTAAATTTCCCGAAGGGAACTCCCCTCAGGATTAATAATAAGGGCTGTCTATCTATCGATCTACTCGGTGGAGGAATGATTCACAAAAACTCCAATATAGCGATGTTCTTCCATGGGTTATGGGTTCATTACGTACACCTCCTAAACACAGCTGGTGGTCCGGAGTTGGTTTTTCCACCGATCACAGCTGGTTTCCCACCAACCAAAACGCCAGATTCTCTTCTGCAAATCTCTGAATCACTGAGACTCGTTCTCACCACAGAGCGCGCGGGGCTCCACCGGTTCCACGCTCTGCGTCCACCGCCGAGCCGGATTCTCACGTCCAGTGGCTGATGTAATGCAGAGTCATTGTGGTTGCGGAGAAGAGAGTTTCACACTTTCACACTAAAAAAACTTAAGTCGCCCTGAGGGAGGAGAGAGTGTGTGTTTGATGGTGAACAGAGGGCCAGAGGTGGACATCCAGCTGTTAACAGTTTCCCCGGGTACGAGGGTGGAGGCGGCGGCGGCGGTGCAGTTATGCGCCAAAGTTGTGGAAAGAGACATGGCCGCAATTATGTGTAATCACAGATGATGCAATGCTGAAAGAGAAGCTGGCTCATCAGCGCAGCAGCAGCTTTGATCCAAAACAAACCCATTTAATGATAACGTGGGAGTGTGCTGAAAGACGGTACTGGGGATTTAGTGCAGAAGACACAATCAGTCATAATAAGGACTTCGGGGATGTTTGCCAGCAGCTCTACGAGACTGGTACAGACAGACAGAGCCGGCGAGCGACTAAATCTCAAAGTAAATATGTTAAAAAAAAACAAAAAAACAACAAATAAATATGTTGATATGAACATAAGAAGTTAACCTACTTATTCCTAGCTTTGATGTGTGGTCCTTATTTTTTAATGCTTTATTAATTATATTTTATGTTATATATATATAGTATATACTCACATACTGTACTGTAAGTACTTATGTCACTCACAAGTGGTAACATCGTTATCTCTCGACATAAAAACAGGGGAAGAGTCGGACTTACGCCTGGGAGTCATAATGAAGGGCAAAATTCACAGAAAAAAAAAACAACACAAACAAAACAAAGTGAACGTATCATCCAATGTATGGCCTACAACCGGTGAATGTAAACAAAGCCATCTTCCTTGTATAGGACCGTGTGTCGACGTATTCCTTTTAACGTCGCAAATGGGGTACGTCAGAATTATGGAACAAGACTTTCTTAATAGATTTCCGGGAGACGGTGACGAAACCATGAAACGTTCTAGGTCGACAAAACGTCCTAGGTCGAGGACATCGTAAACTAAGGATGCTTGTACTTCAATCTCTCTATACTACTATATACATTAGGACTTTTGTTTTCAATTATACAATTATACAATCAGAAAATAAATGTATATAAAGAACCTTCAGGTTTTAGTGCCAGGTGAAAACATTGGACTTGAAATTAATTACAAAAATTTTAAATAAAATTTATTAAGTATAATATATATATATATATTTTATATATATATATTATATATTTTATATATAAATATATATATTAAAAAAAATAATAAAACCACACCGTTCTTTTCTGCTTTCCCTGTAGTTCTCTTCTGAATTGGTGAGCGGTCTGAGTTAGGAAAAACAATGAACACATTCAGGTCACAATACTGACCTCAGTAAATACTGCGGGTGTTTCAATGACCCAGAGGTGTCAGAGAGCGATTCTCTGTGGAAAACTGTGACGGAACTGTGCTGAAAACCCTGGTCATGAACAAGGTCTTTGTCCAAGCCAGAACACTGTCTCACCCACATTCACTCAGATGTGATGAAGTGGGATTTTTGTGAGTGTTGACAGTGGAAAATGTGTTTAAAACTCAAGTGCTTTTTTTTTTTTTTTCTTCTAAGTTTTTTTTAATTGACAGAAATTTGTTTTACTTTATGGCAGCTGGGAAACTAAACGTGATGTATTATGTTCTCTGGTGATAAATGCTAGGAAAGTGTCTTTTTTTTTGGTGAGACTGAATAAAAGGACACTGGACATAAGTTTTGTTTCAGCTCTGTATATTCCTACTTATTAATAAACTTAATATTTCATTACTGGTCTGCTCTTTCTGGTCTATTTCCTGTCTAAACAGGTCCATTTTATGCTAGCTAGCTAGCTACATGCTAGCATGTGGAGCAGAGCAGCTTTACAACAGGGGGAAAACCGCCAGGTCTACGACCACATTACATTGCAGTACTTTCACCAAGCTTTGGGAGAGAACGTCAGATGTGCGATATATATAAACCGTAAGTAGTAGTTATATCATGTGACAGTTTTATCGGTGACTAACCATTGGCTCAGATCCTGAGTTTCATTCTTCACATTCCGTTCATACATCTTTTACCACTTCAATCCAGGAATGCAGTCAGTTACAAAAGTCATCGGGGAAGGGAGTGATACAATAGAGACAACCATTCACTCGCCTCCATCCAATAATTAGTTCAGAAAGACCTGAAGAAATCATTACATTTTTTTTGTTATATCCTAAATGTAGTTTTTCAAAAAATATAATTCGGCCTGAGCCGGACATTAATGTTAGTATAAAACAGTACGGAACAATTCATGATCCATTTCAACTACGTTTATAGCGCCACCTGCAGGGTAGGAAGAACAACTCACATACTCTATATCTATATCTTGGGAGCTACTGTTTAAATGACCAGGCCAAAGTGATAAAATATAAATTAAATATATATTTGTGCATTATATGTTGGGGCAGTGACTGCATAAAGGTCAATGACAAAAAATAATAAATAATAATAATAATAATAAATAAATAAAACAATAAAAAAAATAATAGAACTATTAAAGAATATGGTCACTACTAAACACTATAGAATTATATTTGAATGTATTTATTAAAATTGCCCATGATCTACCACCACTCACTTTGTGATCTCCTGCTAAATCCTGCTACTACTTATTGCGCAGCATCGCTTTACAGAACAACAGATTTCATTCCTAATAATGGTGAGTGTCACAGACAATTTATTAAGGGCCGACCGAACAAGATACTTGATATAAAAACTGAAATAGTTTACACATTTGTTGGTCTCTATCTTTCCCTGTCAGCTGTGTTTTCCAGTCTGCCTGCCCCTAAGCAAAGGTCAAAGATCAAGGTATCTTTTATTAGCCTCACGTTATTGCACCGCTATACAATTATACTGTGATATCACTGAACAGACCGTACAGAAAACATGGAGGCACCTGAGCAAAACATGATGATGATGATGATACACAGAAAAGAAAAACAAACACCGATCCTTGAAGCACAAAATCAGTTTCTACTCTTTATTGTTATTAGATATTTCTTTCTCTTGTAATTTTTTTTTTTTTTACCCCTTTAGGCCATGTGTCAAAAATATAATGCATGACATAGACATGATAGAGCTTCTGTCAGGAGGTCACTGACTGATGTTTGCCATCTCACTCCACGGGGGACAATAGGTTCATTCTTCCTCTTTGAATCCTTCCCTATGTCACGCTTTAAAAAAAAAAATCCAAAAGTGGATCGGAAATCTGACCTTGACAAAAACCGAGGTCACCGTCTTCCATACTCGATATCCGTGAGGAGAATTATTGACTTACATTGTGAACTGCTGACAAGTGCTGAGCGAATCCCATTATCTCATCAATGCTAACTGCTAAATGCTAACTCCTGCTAACAGGAAATTGTTCCTTTCATACTGATGTCTGTGATGGCACCTCAGAAACTGTCAATGAACAAACACCATTAGATCTGCTCTAGAATTCAGTACACGCTAGTTTAAAAGCAGCTGTCGTCTGGCGGTCGCATCAATCGCTAACGTCGTTGTTCGCGGACGACACCTGCGCACGGCCTTCTTTCCTATCAGTCGCCCCAGTAGATTCTTCTCGTCCGTACAGGCCAGGTGACTAGGAGCTGAATGTGAACTCTTATCACCGTGATACAACTGTCTGCCTTTAGCCTTCAGTAGAAGAACTGGATCTGAGCCGGGTGATAAAAAAAAAAAAAAACGCCCAGGAAAAAGAAACCCAAACTCTATTATGGTTTTAGGAGGAAAAAAAAAAAAAAACAGGATGATGAAAACCTCGAGCAATGTGAAGGTCATTTACCTGCTGGGCGAAACACAAATTAGAAGAAAGACCGAAGTCTCTTCTCACTAACCGTAGGGCAGTGAGATCAATCAGCCTTGAGCGTGTGTGTGTTTGTGTGTGTGTTCGCAGCAGAAAATTATCTCTTACATCGGCCCTTTTTTTATCTCTTAGTTTTTAATAAACCTATAACATTGCGGAGTGATGAACGCCATAGTTAACAACATGACAAAAAATAGCAATTATTTATTAACGAAACACAATTCATTAGCACTAAGGATGTCCGATATTATCGGCCCGATATTAGCATAATTATGTAATATCTGTAAGAATTGTCATCGGTTTTGTCCACCGATACTGAAAACCCGATAACGCAATGCCTGGGTTTCGCCAAATGATGATGTGCCCTAAAAATAATTTTGGGGATAAACGGCTGTACATTAAAGTGAAGGTCACTAGATGGCAGCATTGCAGCTCATTTTATTAATCGCATACTCATACAGGGGTTTTTACAGATAAATAAATAAATATTACCAGGCCTTTATCGGTATCGGGTGATATCGGAATCGAAAAATTATGTGTTTGGACAATATCGGCATAGCGGATATCGGCAAAATTTTAATATCGGACATCCCTAACTAGCGGATGGTGCAGGTTCTGGAGCCGATGAATAACTCTGGACTCTGTAGTACATATACCAGGCCCATAGGTGGCACTGTGTCACCCTGATTGCACTGTTAACTAACGCTCCGGGATCCGTGTTCGTATCGTCCGTGCGTGAACGCCGCCTAAATATCATCAAACTGACATCTTTTCTCGGACAATATTTTGTCCAATGGTTGCACATGTTGTCGCGAAGCTGTGATTAATTAACGTTGCAAACTTTCCTACATATTCCCCGAGTAAAAGAGTCTAAAACAGTTAACAGTTAAAAGTCACGTGATCGTTTTTATTTCCCAGGTTTCTACTGAGGACTTACAGATAACAAAAAAATATCATGATTAGTGAAGTGACTCCACCTCACAGTTAAATATATTTAATAAGGCGAAGGGACATTTGTGGTTGGACTTTCACTGTCAGCTCTGTTAAAGGTGGAACTCTCGGGTCTGGTCACTGTGTTGGTGGACGCAGATTTACACTCAGCTCCTGCAGGTCTGCGATGACTCGCTCCAGAGCGGCGACACCTTCCTGCAGCTCACTGTGGATCTGACCTGTGGCCACATCTGTGTGCATTTGCTAAAAACAAAAAAGAAGAAGAAGAAGACGGAATTAATTTACTGTTTATCAGCATTTAAACACAACAAAGTCCAGATTTCACAGTGGTCACAAAGCAGCGACAACTAGCCTCTGAAAAAAGTCGCCATTTTGTGTTTCCCTCGCTGGGTTATTTTATCCATTTTTATAACAATAACATGAAGTGTTTTCTTAATCAATATTACTTTTGCCATTTATGTTCTTTCTAGAATTTATATTTTCTTTTGCAACAATTTCAATGCCTTTGATCAGTGTTCCTAAACTCCCAGCTGGGGACCACTGGGGGCAGCAAAGTTCTCTAATCTGGCCAGTGATGATAGATTTCAATTATAATTTGCCCCTAAGGAATTTGGTAATTTTTTTTTTAAATGAATAAATGCTTTAGTAGTGAAGCTGTACCTTGGCTTTGGTAGCCAGACTACGCAGCGATAGCCTGGTGGACGACAGCATCTGCAGAGCTTCAGCTGGATTAGCCTTGGACTTACTGCAACAGCTGGTCACTGGGAGACACACAGAGGTCAGGATCGTTAAACAGAGCATTTTGAACAAGAGGTTTGTCCCTTGCAATGTCACATTTATGAATGTCGATTTGGCTTGATTAATCGTGATTAATTACGATCATGGTTAATCGTGACTAACCTACAGTTGCCCTGGAATCGCTTGTGGGATCCCGAGACGTTTACCGCAGTTTTGTAGGAAAACGGCTGAATATATTGGTATCGGGTTGATATCGGAATCGGACAATAAGCGTTTGGACAATATCGTACGTATCGGAAATTAGCAAAAAGTCAATAGCAGATAACGTTAAACAGGGAAACTATCGCATCCGCAACCGCAGCCCGTAGGATGCTGGAGGAGAAAAGAAGGTATCAGATTAATTGCAGTATCGATATCGGACTAGCCGTGGTTATTAGCAAACTCTTTTCTGCGTCTTTTCCTCCTAAATTCAAAATGGTTTCCTTAATTCCTGCCGTATCCAAACAAATCGACAAAGTAAAGACAGACGAGGCGAAGGCCAGAATCCCTTCATCAATCTCTCGACCTTAGCAGTCACAGCAAAGGCGGGAACTGAGACTCAACCGTCAGTGAGGAGGAACGGGCAGCACTGATTCTTGTTGTAAAAGACATTAGCGGCGCCCCCTACTTTGCACGTTTTTCGGGTAGATGACTATTAACCGGCGTGACGCGCGCGTAAACCTGACGATTCTAAAGTATCATTTCCCCCAAGAACGGAAGAAAAATGTATTGAAAGAAGTTGTGCCCCTGCACGGAAAAGGAATGTACAGTATGTGGAAAAGCAGAATCATCTGGGACTCAAGGTTGCAGGCTACGGAAAGTAGTAAAACTGTTTTATCCACCTTGTCCAATTCTCATAAAAAAGACGAGATTACTCAGCGGAGACGTGGTAATACTGAGAAACAGCAGGCCACAGAGTGGCTTGAACTGTACACTGGTCTGAGTACTCACCTGTAGGAGAACGTGAACCTGAACCCACACACATCACACTCTGCACCGACTGTATCAGAACCCACATTTTTAATTCCTCCTAAATTCTCCTAAGGAAACTCCTGAGGGTTTTGATAAAGTTCTGTCTATCTCTGATGTCTAATTTGAAGCCTGACTTGATTTTTTTTTACTGTAAATATATCTACACAGTGTCTTGGAGTCAGAGGTAAATCACTGTATAAAAATACATGTCATTATTATTAGTATTAATAGTAGTAGTTGCAGTAGTATTAGCAGAAGTAGTAGTAGCAGAAGTAGTAGTAGCAAAAGTAGTCATAGTAGTAGTTGCAGTAGTAACAGTAGTAGTAGTAGTAGCAGAAATTGTTGTTTTAGTAGCACTAGTAGCAAAAGTATTAGTATTAGTAGCAGAAGCAGTAGTTGTAGTAGTAGCAGAAGTAGTCGTAGTAATAGTAGTAGTTGCAGTAGTAGAAGCAGCAGTAGTCGTAGCATTAGTAGTAGAAGTAGTAGTAGTTGCAGTAATAGTAGAAGCAGAAAAAGTAGTAGTTGTAGTAGTAGTAGTATAAGTAGTAGCAGAAGTAGTCGAAGTAGTAGTAGCAGAAGTAGTAGTAGTAGTTGAATATAGTACATATGCATATAGTACTACTATATAGCAGTAGTAATAGCAGAAGTAGTAGTAGTTGCAGTAGTGGTAGCAGAAGCATTCGTGGTAGTAGTAGTAGCAGAAGTAGTCGTAGTTGCTGTAGTAGTAGTAGTAGTAGTAGTAGTAGTAGTAGTAGTAGTAGTAGTAGTAGTATTACACTGGCCAAGTCACCAAGTCACTGTATTGTTACCAAGTTTTTTGTTTTAATTGTTAGAGAACGTTTGAACCACAACATCTAGTCCACGATAGGAGACAAACCACAACCTTAATAATCTGCTACACTAAGATCTTCCCTCATTTGCCAACACAATGTTTCTAAAAAAAAAAAAAAAAAAAAAACCAAACACAGACACGGTCCTCTAATTCAGATGAGTACAGAGAAATATTCAGCATTACAGGTATTTGGAAGCGTGTGTAAACCATGACCTCCGCAGCAGAGATTGTCTCTGACTGAAGGTTGAACACACACGCTGCTGGAACACGGCTCGGTTGAGCACGCGTGACGCGCGCTCGATAAAGGGGGGGGGGGGCGCATCTCATACACACACAACATGAGGAGGAAGACAAGACGGCAGGAGGAGGAAGAGGAAGGAGCCCCGCTGACAGACAGAGCAAACAAATGACCACCCGCCTGCCAGCTCCTGACTGCTGCTCTGCTCTGATGTTTAATTCAGCTGTGTGTGTGTCTCAGTGTAATGGAAACATCTGGGAAAACTAAAGGAGTTTTCTAAAGGAAAATTAGACCAAAAAAAAAAAAAATTAGACAAAAAAACAAAAAAAAATCTCTCTTCACTCCTCTTCACCTCTTCATCCAGCCACCTCCTCCACCCTCTCCGTGAACCTGGTCTGACTGGTAAACGTCTTCTGAGCAGATCGCACGCGGCTGAAAGACGACCTCCCCTCTCTTCAGCTTAAGTTCTCGCTTCCGCGAATCCATGCCTTTTCTCGAGGCTCTTCCCTGAAATCCCCTGTCCTTCCTTGTCAAATGACAAATCTCAGCGTCTTCACTGGCGTCACCTCCAGCTCAGACTTCCATCCATTAGACCGAGCCACCGTCTACACACCGTACATCACAGCAGGTCTCACTACAGCCTTATAAACCTTTGCCATTAATTTTCCCCCCCGCTGTCCTGCTGTCCAACCACCAATTCCAGAGGAGACAAACTCATTTAGGGGCCACATACAGTCTGAAGTCAGTACTAGTGTGTTGAAAAATCTTCAACCATATTTAATGAAATATCACTTTATAAATAAGAGGGTAAAATAAGTAAATAAGTGGGGCCGGAATGAAGCCCCTAGTGGGCCGGTTTTGGCCCGCGGGCCTTATGTTTGACACCCTGGATGAATTCCATGTCACCTCTTGCTATTGATTTCACTTCTTCACTCACTTCACAAATATTCCTCCACTTCCTCTTCCTCTGATTTCTACTCTCACCCCTAAGGACAGCATCATCTGCATAACATCACACCCGTAGTTAGTTATTTATGATGGTTAACAAAATGGTACTACTGTTCAGTGAGGGAACTGTGAGCGAAACGGAGGATTTTAATCTTTTTAGTAAGGGCAAAACTAGTGATTCATTGGTATTTTTTTTTAGCTTATCTGTTTGTTTTTTTTAAATCTTTAAATTATGATTTTTTTTTTTGTTTGTTCTTTTTTTTTTTCTCACCTTGCCCCATGTGAATGGCTTTTTCAATCACTTCCTTGAAGAGAGCAGGCTCTGTCTCCCAGCCACCAGCCTGAACCTTGCAGCGATGGGCCTTGGCTAAAAACTGGAGAGCCTTAAAAAAAAAAAAAAAAAAAAAAAATTACATAAAATATTTTATCCTAGCTTTTCCTTAGCTTTCGTTTTCAACTTACAGCAAATACCTTGGATCTACTACCTCATTGGTTTGGCAACGTTTAAGTTGAAGAAACTACTATGAACAAGTATTTATTTCAGAATATATTTCTTAACATACCACATTTAAGTGTTGGTTAGAGACCAGAATCATTTTCACCCGGTTCAAAATGCCATTTTTACCTCCGAGTTAACGAGCGGTCGTAAAGCCTGCAGTGTTCCTGACCTTTTCATTGTCCTCCGGGTTGGAGCTGCTGCCGTTACCGTACAGCAGGGCGTACAGCCGCCACACCTCGGCGTCGCTGCTGTGCCGGGAACTGATCCGACCGAGGAGTTCCTTCAGCTTGTTCCCGTAGCTCGCTGCCTGTACTCCCTGGTTGTCCACTAGGTTTTCAACAACCGATTTTACAAGAACCTGTAAAATCTGCCATGGGAAATAATAACAAGAGTTACTTTAATAGTCTAAGTTTATTACATTAGTAACAACTTTAATTCCGTTCACCATATCGTCCAAAAAAAACGCTCGATTTCATAGACCTTAGTCGACCACCTGAACGCTTCATGGCAAAAAACGCGTTTGTATTTTCCTACGGAAAAACGTTCCAACTCTGACGTCTGATGTTCTTGATGAATAAATATTTATTTCAAGAACCGATTGAAATTAGCACCTAGGTTCTGCAGTTCTTGGAACTGTTATTTCTTCTAATTCGGTGGAAGGCTAATAAATCGTCATTACAAAATATCGAGCCGTAAACCTTGTCCTGTTGGCTCAGGTTTAAAGCTTATGGGCTTTAGCTGATTAAAATGTCAACGACATCACTGTATATTGTGCGTGTATCTTTAAAACACACACACACACACGTGGAAGAACAAAAGTTCATTTCTAAAATAAGTAATGGGAGGGTGGAGGCCGCGGCTGACCTTTACTACATCACGATCTTAACAGCCTTATTGATGAGAAACACAACCAGAATTAATGAGCACAGCCCAAACAGGAAAAAAACCCCTCCATCCTCAACTACAAAGTCACAGCCAGAGGAAAAAAAAAAAAAAAATCATATCTGGATTTCAATTATTCTTATTTGAATTTAGATTCTTCAAAATTAATTGCTCAGCTACAAGACGGAACTGTCTCGACGGGCTGGAGGAGAAAATTAATTCTCCCGGAAAAAGGCCGCTGGTGGCTGTTTGGTCTCGGAATCTCCTGTTTGGGATGCAGCGGATGCTGTGCAATCACGGACACATGATTAAGAGAGCGTCGCTTTCTTCAGTCGCTGTAAATGACGACCTGCTACACGACCGCGATGAGAACGGTCCACGCTACAGAGGTACAACCCACAGGTTTATTAGGTTAACGCTTTCTTTGTCTTTTTCGACGTCACATGGAAAAACGAAATATCGTGTACCATCACACAAGGTTTACGAATAAGGACCATGCACCAGACATGGGCAAACTAAGGCCCGGGGGGGGGGGCCTGATTCGCTCCGTTCAGGTTTGATATCTGGCCCACCACCAACTTTTCCAAATTCTGTCCTTTCCTTGCAATACCAGCGTTTCCCCAATAGATGGCGTAGAAAAAGCATAAAAGCATTTTAGCCTTTATGCATGACTTTTACATGTCATTTATCTTAGTTCACATCAACGCTCCATCTATCTGCTCCTGACCCGGCCCTCCCTGTTAAACTTTGGTACAAACTGTGGCCCATGAGTCATAAGTTTGCCCACGCCTGGTAAATGAGCATATACAGTCTTACTCTGGATGAAAGTAGCTTAAGAATTAAGCAAAGGAATTAGACAAAACTGTCTATAAATATTCTAGTTTGAAGGACCTGATCTAGACACATTAAAGTATTTTTTTTAAGTGTAAAATTACATATATAGTAATATAGAATACATGTATATATAAATATATATATACATACATATATAAATATATATATACATATATAAATATATATACACATATATATATACATAAATATATATATATATACATACATATATAAATATATATATACATATATAAATATATATATACACATATAGACATATATGAACCACTGGGGTACGCAAAGCACTCCAAGTAGTACATAAGATTTTTTTTTTTCTGATCAAAACACTACTAATATTATTACTACCATATTTAAAATCAATGTATAAAATGCTTTTATGGATTTTTTTTTAATCTAAAAATGATGTCAATTTGACAAGAGATCTTTATTACTATCCAAAAAACATTTTTTTTGATTTTTTTTTTTACTTGTTTTGGTTTTTAATTTTATTTGGCTATTTTTTTTATTTTTACTTTTTTTGGTTTTTAATTTTATTTGGCTATTTTTTATAGCTCTTTCTCTGCATTCAAAAAAGTACCGACGTCTTCATGTCTGATTTGTACTTATTTTTATTTAATCAAACTACGTGTTGTCTGGAGGTTCAAGGCAGATTTCCCATGTTGGGACACCACCTGTTTCTCATTGGTCTCATTTGTTTCTACCAGACGGAAGCAAGGAAGTAATTCAGAAAGAACCTTTACCTCAACGTCCTTGTAGTTTTCCCTGACGTCCATCAGCCGGTGGTAGGCCTTCAAGGTTTCAGCAAAAGCCCCAACGTCGGCGCTCACGACGATGAAGTTCTCCCAGATCTGCCAGTGCTCGTAGTTACACTTTAGGGCTTCCTGCAGCGTACGGAAGGCTTTGTCTCTGCCAGCGAGAGCGAGGAAAGAGAACCGGAGAAACGAAAATTCAATAAAAGACCGGAACAGGCCAGAGATTGAATGTGCTGACACCAGCAACGGGATTAACTGCACTAAACTGTAAATGGCGTTGCCTGATTGAAAAGACACACGTGCAGCCACAGTCCTTATACGGCAGGAGCGCTAACCAGGATTTAATAAAAGCTTTTCTGCTTTGCTTTTCAATTTCAGGCCTGAAAGCACATGAGGCTGCTGTGAGATGTGAGGGAAAAAAAAGGGGCTCCGAGTCACCGACTCGCCGGACTCCTCGCTGCTCTCAGATCCCCGTGCTAAAAAACAAAAACAGAGCTCCGAGGGACGTGTCAGTTTGGACACGGAGGACAAAGTGCCAAAACAACTCAGACTTGACAGGACGGTAAGTCAATCTGAGAAGCTGACGGACAGATGTCATATGGTCTAAACTCCTCCAAATCAGAGCTAACGTTCAGTTATACAGTGGAACCTCGAGATACCAGCAAGCCTTCGAGCTAATGTTTTGCTTCGAGATACGGGTAAAGATTTGATTTTTGCTTCGAGATACGGGTAAAGATCTGAGATACGAGATACACGCTTACAGACGCCGACGCTAGGCGGCCGAGCACTCGGAGCAGCCCACTTTTTCTTGACATTTTTCCCATATTAACAATACAATTATAATGAGTCACAACAGCAGTAAAACACATATCAGCGGTGCCTGGTGTTATTTCCCTTTCTGTTTAGACTCCGTCCATAAAAATGGCTCGATTTAGTCACGATTAATCCTTCTCAATTACGATCCCGATTAATCGTGAATGATTAATGTTCTAATCCAGGGGTGTCAAACATAAGGCTCGCGGGCCAAACCCACGGCCAATAGGTGTTCGATCGGTGAAATTTGAAAATGAAAATACATTTACAAACACTTCATATTTTGTGTAAACATTTTTATATTTAGTTAAATATAAATAATAAATATATAATATAAAATTGCCGAATGTTATTTATATATATATATTGTTTGACAGCCCTGGTTTCAACATGTTTTCCTCCTTTTGTTTTTTTTTTTTTTTTTTTTTTTTTTTTTAAAATTTAACCCGTCCACCGAGCTCAATGACACATTTGCATTCATACTCATCGTACTTCTTTTGGAGGCGGATGTAAGCTGAGGAGAGGTTGTTCCACGCTTCGGCATTCTGAAAGCAAAACAAGGTTACCAGGGTCAAAGTCAGAGTACCGAGGATTTCTTCTCATTATAATACTTGAAGACGTTTCCAACACAATCTGCTGTAAAAGAACAAGGACTCGTAGCTACAGTTCTATCACCGAATCTTTCCACAGACCTCTCTGCAGCAAATACAAAATACAAAAAAGTCTCTAAGAGGGTTTGTTGTTCGGAGGTACTTACATCAGGCTCCAGTCCCACACACCTCTGGAAAGCCCGGGCAGCTCCTTCATAGTTCTGCAGAGCCAAGTAGGCACAGCCAAGAGAAAACCACACACCGAGCTGTCGCACACAGACGCAGTCACAGAATGAGAACCTCCATTTTAAAGAACTTACAGAAACATTTCGTTATTTCCTCTTTTTTTTTTTTTTTTTTTTTTTTCAAACTGCAAAAGTCATTTAGTTTTGATTCCTTTAGTTCAAATGGGAAACCTTTGCCAAAACTGTTTAATTCAGTGATCCCGATATGAGGAAAAGCAACTGTTGAATGTGACTTTTTTTTTTTTTTTTTTTTTAATTTGCTTTAAATCAGAGTCATTTCGTTGGAGGGTCACATCAGTGTCAGATGGTTGATGCTAAAAAAAATTATTTTAATGTAGTGGCCTGGTTTAATATGATATTCATTTAGTCCCTTATGCCTATATAAGTCCTTGCAATGAACACAGGCGGCCACAGGAGGCGCCATTTAGCACATAGTTGCAACTCACAGGCTAGAGAATATGTGATTCCTCTGGGAATCGAACCCAGGACTCTCTGCTCGTTGCTTTCACGACAGGCGTGCTAACCGCTACACTAAGGAAGCACTAAATAAAACAGTTATTGTTTGTTGTTTGACGAACGATAAAACATTTTAATAATATTAACCAATGCACTCAACAATTAAAAATAAATGAAAACATTTTCCTCATATTATTAACGTTGTTGATTCTAGTCGCGGGCCGTAACTGGCCCCTGGACCAGGAGTTTGATACCACTGCTTCAAACCACTATAGATTTGAATCAATTGTACCAGTAAGGGATATAAACAAGCAACACCCCGTAGGTCACAGACAACGTTGCTGTCCGTTTAGCACCAGCGCTAGCGTTTACATTAAAGTCAGTCATGAGAAACAACTGTTGTGTCTACGCCGCACAGACACCTCCAGCGCAGAGCGTCGGACGAGCTCCCTGCCAAGTGTTCGACGAAGCCATATGTGAGCGCTCCATCAAACCATCCCAGACCCTAAAACCCCATCCTTTTATTTTTGGCTGCATTCCGATGTGTTGTTAACACTTGTCTCGAGCGTTCCGATCACTCGTGGACGTCGGTAATTATGACTTCACACCTGGCAATGGAGTGTGTCCCAAATGTGTCTCCTGTAACCACCCGAGATCTGGCTTCACCCAAGTTGTATTCAAATGCGCCCTGACATCATGTCTGCTGGAAGCGAAAGCTGTTTTTAATGAGACCCGCTGACGAACGCGCCTGACGTCAGTGTGTTTTCTTTTTTTTTTGTTTGTCGGTGCGTCTGCGTCCGAGTCCGTTTGAATCAGAAAGGGGAAAAGTGATCCTAACCTACAGAAACCTGCCTTTGTAACTTAACGAAAAAATAAATATATGTGTACTCATATACTCAATATACGCCGACAAACACCATGAACTGAATTTGTTTCGTGTATTGTTTTTTCCAACAACGATACAGTTATTACTTTAATGAAGTCAATGTAAAAAAAAAAGAAGGCAAACGTGATCTAGCCTTCAAAAAATCAATATATGTGTACTCATATATTCAATATACGCCGACAAACACCATGAACATGAAGTGTTTGTGCATTTTTCACTTTCAACATTTCATTAAGAGGGCCGGATTAAACCCCCCTTGCGGGCCGATTTTGGCCCGCGGGCCAAGTGTTTGACACCCCTGGTATAGAATAGTCATCATTTACTGCGATTCGTTTGTACCATACAAACACCATCAACATGTTTGTGCATTTTTCACTTTCAAAAATTCATCAAGTGGGCCGTATTGAACCCCCCCCCCAGCGGACCGACTTTGGCCCGCGGGCCGAGTGTTTGACACCCCTGGTATAGATGATTCATCATTTACTCATAATTTACGGCGATTCGTTTGTACCTGCAGGGAGTTGATCTTCAGTGACCTCTGAAAGCAGTCGGCGCACTGCTGGAACTCCTTGCGTTGCAGGTGCAGCAGGGCTTTGGACCGCATCGCCCTGGCGCTGCGCTGGCCCGACAGCTCCCATGCTCGGTCGTAGTACTGATGGTCCCTTAGGATGTCTCCCAGTAGGCAAAACAGACTGGGTGTCTCCTTCTTCTCCAACTCTCTGCGTACAATCTCTTCTGCCTGAAAGACATCGGAGAAGTGAACGACGAGGCACAGAGGGAAACCTGTTGAACACGAACGACAGGGAATCCAGCGATCCCTCTGCCATCGCAAGACCCATCGCGAAATGGGAAAAATCTCAAAGTAGAGGCGAGATTATATATGTTATTATATTATTTACGTATATATTTACCCTTTACTCCCCCTCACTGTATTACCCTACACAATTATATCCACAGTAGAGTTGTACACCTCCCTAGGCTGTATTACCATTTCCCACATAATAATATCCACAGTAGAGTTGTATTAATGGCGACGCCGAGCGAAGTGAACGAGAGAGTGTTGCCGACAGACAGGGGGCGATGCTGAGCCAATCAGCGTGAGGAACAGAAGAGCATGCTCAATTAGCCAATAGTACACTTAGTCAAATCGTATTAGCAAATAGCATGCTTTGTACGATCTAGATTAGGTTAAACAAAGCTAGCAGCGATCGTTCGCAAATGCGCTTATCGCAACTTGAAAACGAGACAAAACGTTCGTATGTATAATTCTTTTATCTTTTAGTTTATTTTTGGCTATATTTTGCGATACAGTGGAAAATTCGCGTTTTTTTTTTCTTTTTTTAATCTGCGACGTACTGAGGGAGAGAAAGGAGAATCGCGATATAGAGAGGGAAACACTGTAAACAACAGAATCCGATACATGATTTATCGGCTAATGAGCGTTACGTTGCATTACTTCATTCTTCAGGTACCCGTGGAACAAGCCGAGACTTACAGCGCACCGCTGCAAAGGAACAGAAAACAAAGAACATGTTCTTTCTCTCCAAATTCTAATTTATTCTTTCGGTGTTGGGTGAAGTGTTTCAGTCTGGCTGCTGGACAGGGAAAAGGTCCTTCCAGGCTCGACACCGCCTTGATTTGACTTAACGTCTTTGCTGAATCCCCTTCATCAGCGTGGCCAAAATTCAAACATAAAGTCGACGTTTCACAGAACTAAGGCCACGACTTTAACTCCGTTCTAACTGGTTAAAACCCAGTGGTGTGGTTTATACCAAGTCATTGCTCACAGACATGGGCCAAACGTGGCAAAAGTATGAGAAAACCCTTTGCCCGTGCTTTGAGGAAACATTAGAAAAACAGGAGAGAATGAGTCACCGTTTGCCCATGCACGGTTTAGCGTGATAACCTAAAACGGTGGTTTGGTTTCCTCACGGGACGTTTGGAAAATCCGCCGTGGCTCAAAACAAAATTTCCCTGGTGTTATATTGGAAATTAAACTGGTTTTTATCGTATTGGTCTTAATTAGAGCATTGTTTTGTCATGAGATAAATGTCACAACATTGTTTTTTTTTTATTTTATTTTATTTTATTTTTTCATCCCTCTTTGTCTGAATCAGTGGTCGGCTAGTACTAGCTAGTACTAGCCGTTACTGCGGACCGCGCCGATCACTGGAGGATCATTAAATTCACGAACTAAAACTAGTTTTAAAATGTTGTATATAACAGCTGTATTACTGTTAATGTGCACTAACATGTGAATTTAATAGTCCAGGCCTGGACAAACTACGGCTCGGGGGCCCGATGTGGCCCGTTTGGCTTTTTAATCCGGTCCGCCAAATTATGTTATTTTTTAATTATTTTTATTATATGTCTGCCTTTTCCTTCAATGCCTCCCTTTCACCAATAGATGGCATATTAATGTTCCATCTTTCTGCTCCTGAACCTGGCCGCCCTGTCAAATTTTAGGATCAGTTGTAAAACTTTGCTTAGTGTTTTCGAAATAGCCGTTTCATTAAATGTCAATTACAAAGCCACTAATAATTATGGGTAATTTCTTATTCCCATCACACCAAGCTGGAGATTTAGAGTCCAAACTTCTGGTTGGCGGACCCTTCTGGTCCGGTCTGCACCAGTGTTTCCCAAACTTTTTTTTCTGGGGACCCATATTTTAAAAGTCAATAAACTCCTGGGAAACATGATGCGAGGCGACCCCAAAAAAAAAAAAACTCTTGCGACCCACTTGAGGGTCGTGACCCAGTCTTTGGGAAACAATGGGCTACAACATACATTCCTGGGTGGAGTTTATAATAACGTGACCTAAAATCTGTGTGACAGGAACAGACTTGAACCCAATTCGTACAACGAAGGCTATGTCCATAAATAACCGACAAATTCAGGTCCTAGCTTGCAGTCTTTCGGTTCACTGATTCGGCCGCTAAACTAAACCTAAACTCGAGGTTTACACCAAAGTCACAAATAAAAGTTTGAACTAACTGATGGAGGCAGCGGTGATTCATCAAAGCCGCCGTGTGTGGCGACACCGATTACCGACATTTCTCTAAAAAAAAAAAAACATGGGGGCAACAGAGTGAGCACTTTATAATGATTTTTTTTTTTTTTTTTTGTAATTGCATTACGGTGATTCAAGGTCAGAGTTACACACAGCCAAGGAGAAAAGTCCTCAGTCTGAGCAGGAGAAGAGAGTCTGGAATGAGACCAAACTCCTTCATTTAAATGGATTAGTGAGGAGCCGTATTATTATGATGGAGCTCTGCAACGACACAACATGGAGTATTGGCTGGAAGTACTACAACACAACACATCACTGAGACCAGACTGTGGCAGGACGCATTATTATTATTGTTAATATTATTATTATTATTGTTATTGTGGTTGTTGTTATTACTATTATTATTATTGTTGTTGTTATTATTATTATTGTTGTTGTTATTATTGTTATTTCGATTATTATTATGGTTGTTATTACTATTATTATTATTGTTGTTGTTATTATTATTAGTATTATTATTATTATACAGATTATTATTATTAATAATATGTTGTTGTTATTATTGTTATTTCGATTATTATTTTGGTTGTTGTTGTTATTATTATTATTATTATACAGATTATTATTATTAATAATATGTTGTTGTTATTATTGTTATTTCGATTATTATTATGGTTGTTATTACTATTATTATTATTGTTGTTGTTATTATTATTATGGTTGTTATTACTATTATTGTTATTATTATTATTGTTGTTGTTATTATTGTTATTTCGATTATTATTTTGGTTGTTGTTGTTATTATTATTATGGTTGTTGTTGTTATTATTATTATTGTTGTTGTTATTATTATTAGTATTATTATTATTATTATTATACAGATTATTATTATTAATAATATGTTGTTGTTATTATTGTTATTTCGATTATTATTATGGTTGTTGTTGTTATTATTATTATTGTTATTATTATTATTATGTATAATAACAATAATATTAAATTCCATCGTTAATTATAGTTTTATTTATTTTATTTTTATTATTGTTGTTGTTACGGTTTTGTAGACCCAAAACAGCTGGACAATTGTTCAATTTTAAAAAAAAATATAGATTAAAACCGAGCCTCTTCATATAGATTTACAACTACTTCGTGTGACGTGTCCATCAAATCTGCAATTTAAAACGATCAATGGAAATTGTGCGTCGTTAAAAAAACGAGTTGATTTCCCCCTGGACGTATGGTGCACGTGTGTGTCCGACCTTTACCTTGCCATGTTGGCCGAGCTGCTCGTAGCAGATGACCACGTCCTCCCACAGCTCAAGTTTTTCATACATGAGGAGAGCTGAGCTGGTGCAGCCGAGGTCTGTCAGCAGGCTGGCCAGCTGTTTCTGCGGAGAGAGAGAGAGAGACAGAGAGACAGAGAGAGAGAGAGACACACAAACGGGTTGTAAAAGGTTACAGGTTGTCTGAGTGCTAACAGGCCCGCAGGGAGAGAGGGAAGAGATCAAGGGCACTGTACGCTGTATTTCCATTTTAGCATAGAATAAAAGGCTCTATTGAAGTGTGTTTGGGTGATTGTGAAATCAGGACGTCTGGTACAAAGAAGGAAAAAAAAGGACAGGAGTCAAGGATAGATTAGAAATATTACATAGAATAGAATAGGATGGATGGATGGATGGGTGGATGGATGGATGGGTGGATGGATAGATGGATGGATAGATGGATGGATGGATAGATGGATGGATGAATGGATGGATAGATGGATGGATGGATGGTGGATGGATGATGGATGGATGGATGGATGGGTGGATGGATAGATGGATGGATAGATAGATGGATAGATGGATGGATAGATAGATGGATAGATGGATGGATGGATGGATAGATAGATGGATGGATAGATGGATGGATAGGTGGATGGATGGATGGATGGTGGATGGATGATGGATGGATGGATGGATGGGTGGATGGATAGATGGATGGATAGATGGATGGATGGATGGTGGATGGATGATGGATGGATGGATGGATGGGTGGATGGATGGATGGGTGGATGGATGGATGGATGGATGGATAGAACATTATAAATTCCATGGGAAAATTAAGGACATGTATAGAACAACTACAGTGTGACAGTGGTTCCAAACTCCAGGTCTGGGGCCCATTTTAGGCTCATGAGCCGCGAATATCCAATGAGAATATTTGGAATTTTTTGGAACAATGAACAGTCATGTGACCCTCTAACGAGATGACAGTCACAGCAGTGGCCCTCGGCCCATTCCAGTTCCGGACCCTAGGAGGCAGTGGAACAGCTGGCGGGGACGAAGGGCAGCGATTGATTTTTTAACAAGTCCTTTTAAAACCAAGCAGCTGCGAAAGGTGTCGAAAGCGACGGGGGATTTTGCATTTACGAGAGGAGGAGGAGTGCAACGACGAAGGTTCTGGAGACGGCGATGGTCTTTGAGCGTCCGCGCACGTCGATAGCAATCCGGCGTGTATTTACCAATCACGGTCAGTAGGGGTTAACCTGGAGAATGTAACCTTCAGAACCAACCGATTGTAACGCTTTAATGCCTCATTCCAAAGGTGTTAGAATGAAATGACCACACGCACGCATACACACACACACGTTGTAAAAAGAGCTCTCGGTGCCTCGGCCATGTGGAGAGATGCATCACGGTGCTGCGCCTCCACGCGCTCCTCAGTCCCCAGGCAGCAGTAGGCGCTCTTCAATTCCACCTTTATTGCTTTTATCAGTTATTACATGAGTCCCCTCCTCCACTGATCTCTGCAGTACTACACCTCCTTCTATATCTTACTTTAAAGCCTTTTGTGTACTACTGCAGTTATCTATAAATGCTATAATGTTAGTCCATTAGACTCTCTAAGTGTTAGCAGAGTGAACTCGCTAAATTTAAACTAATCGCGGAACATACGGGGTCAGTTGTACGCCCTATATTGGATTGCGCTGCATTCACTTGCTTTCGTTTGTGTTGGTTTTTTTTTTGCCCTTCATTATGGCTCCCAGGTGTAAGTCGGACTCTTCGGATGTTTTTGTGTCCTAGATTCTGATGTCACCACTGCGTTGGTGTTGTAATTTTGACTCTGTTACCACTGCGTTGGTGTTGTAATTTTGACTATGTTGACTTCCTTCTCCTCATTTTTAAGACTATTTTAAAATCTATTATTTTATGCTAAAGTGCATTTCTCTTGCTCTTTTTCTAATGCCCTTGCCGGATCACCTTCAACATCGACTATCATTTCCTCCAGGAGATCAATAAAGTGTATTTGATTCAGATATTGATTTCCAGTGTTTGCCTTTAAAGTGCTTGTGACCCCTTTTTGTAACAGCCAATTTCTGTTTGTTTTTTTAATAGCGTTGCTTTAGTGCATACGTTTCAAACTCAAGGCCCGGGGGCCAAATACGGCCCGGTAAGGGGTTTTGTGTGGCCCGCGGGAGCTTAAAAAGCATTTAGTAAAGTCTATGTAGCAGAGTTTCTTAACCTGAGAAATTAAAGGTTTTTATAATCAATCAAAGTGCAGAAACATGTATTAGTCTCTTATAGAGTAGTTACATCTAAAACCAGCGGTCCCTGACCTTTTATGGTACAAGGACTGGTCAGCCAGTATCGTCCGTTACTACAGACTGGTACCAAGGTGCTGAGCATCAAAAGATCATCAAATTTTCAAAATAAAACATCTTTTAGACTCTATTCTGTTTGTATCAGAATCTGAATGACATATTATTTTAAAATATTGCCAGATTATCTTTAATTAAAAAAAGTAAAGGGATATGACTGGATTTTCTTTGAATGAAGTAGTTAGTAAAAATTATATTTTTTCACTGTGTCTCACTGCAGCCCGGTACCAAATGACCTATGGACTAGTACTGGTCTGCAGACCGGGATTTGGGGACCCCTTATCTGTACAGTCTTCAAGTTACAACCAGCCCTTCAAGGGGAACTGTATTGCTGATGTTTATATCTTTTTAAGTATGTATATAAAACTGAGTGAGGAGAAAAAAAAAAAAAAAAAATTGGTCTTACATGGACGACCCATCTGGCCGGGGCTTGACAGCAATAGAAGATTTTAAGGCGTTCGGTAACGGAACACGACTTGTCTTCAAAGAAGTCTACCAGAACCTGGGAAAACAAAAGGAGCAGGAATTGAATGTCTGCTGTTGGCTGGGGTTGCTGCGACATCCCCCGCATGGTAACAACCATGCATTTGGATCAGAAGCATTTTCATTCTCCACGTGTCACCGGGTGACAGCGAAAGTCGCTTTCATTGATTGAGATGTGAACGCCGCAGCAGGAGCGGAGACAAAGTTGACTCCTGCTGTTGTGGACGTTATTTAACCAATGACACAAGAAACGTTTATGAAGACGACCAGCCGATTTATGTTAGCACTGTCTAGCACTACATATACACATATACATATACATATATATATATATACATATAATACATATATACATATACATACATATATACACATACATATACATATACATACACATATATATACATATATATACATATACATACATATCTACATACATATACATACCCATATACATACATATATACATACATATACATATATATACACATACATATACATATACATACATATATAGATATATATATATACACATATACATACACATATATACATATATACATCTACATACACACATATATATATAGATATATACACATTTGATATATTCTCACGGGCCAAATATAAATACTCTGCGGGCCAGATTTGGCCCCCGGGCCTGAGTTTGACACTTGTTGCTATACAGCATATGTAAAGAAGACAATCTATGCCTTGGTGTGAATCTTGAATGTGAATCAAATATTTACATTTTTACTGTGAACTAACTGTTTTAATTATTAAATAGAGAGAGTTAATTCAAAGCATCACTTTAAAAGAAAGACTTAATAATGGACAGAGAGTTTAAAGCATCACTTTAAAAGAAAGACTTAATAAAGTATTTAATTCTTCCAGGTACGTCTGAACCAAGTGTTCTGCTTCAGAAATGTTTCCATACACTGTGTCCTGCCAGAAAGAAGCCATACGTCAAGTTCGTGCAGGATAGCTCCAGGCCGAAGCAGTCGATCTCAGACCCAGAAAATCGTGCACAAAATCAGGGTTTTTTTATAACCATTTCTGCCAAGGAAAATGAGAGCTTTTAATTTTTTAGCTTCTTTTTTAAATAAACCTGGACCATTTCACCAAACACTCCAACTACAAGAAGTTTAAGAGAAAAAAAAACAACATTACATGTATACGGTGTTTTCCCCACAACCCAGCCTTAGGCTGGAAAATATTTAAAGGAGAAATAAATCTCCGATTTCTTCAACTGCGTGCTCAGACGGTGTCCTCTTCCAGGCCAAATGTTTGAATCTTCTAACGACTTCGCATTTCGTTACGATCATTTCATAACGTCGCCTTTGTCTGGTCTCTTAAGGACGCCGCTGGTCCATGTCCAGAATTACACGCGGGGTTGTGGCAGATTAATGGTTTTGTTTGTGTTACTCAATAACTCAGGGCTCAGAGTGAGCCAAGTGGAGCTCTGGAGCGCCTTCAACTTTTCTCATTTGACTCACGAGGAGCGTTGACGGCCAGGCTGAGGCGCTCGCGATGACAAAATTATCTGCGCAGACGAGTTTACGGCTCATATATGATTCACATCTGGCAGAGCACGCTCGGCGGCTCACAGTCACAGGCACACACCCCTCTAGAGGTGATTGAGTGCTGTTGGCCCGGAGAATAAAAGCAGACATGAAGCCGTTAATAATTAGGTGTTGTAAAAAAAAACAAAAAACAAAAAAAAAACATTACTTCATTGGACACTGTCCTCTTCAAGTGCGTTCAAGTGGAGAGGTCACTCTTGTACACATCTAGGGCGGTGTACTTAGTAATGTGTACAAAGTGATAAAAGTACTGCTGACGTTTAGCGGCGATGCTAACGCTACGTTAATTCAAGTTACTATCAGAACACTTAATTTCTGATTCCGACATCAACCGATTGGGTGTTTCTCAATTATTTACTGCCATGCCCCCCGAGGGGACAGAAGTTTTTTCACCCTCCCCAAATTTAAATACCATTAAGGGCTTGGTAATATTTATTGATCTATCTATACTCCCTAGACACCCTACCTGAGTTTGGGTCATGGCTCTTTCAACACGACGAGAACTTCCTCTCTCCAGTTTGGTCCTGAGGCAGAGTGCGGTGACTTCAACAGCCCAGAATTTAGACTGGGACAATAAAAACTGCAGAGGAACAGAGAGGTTAGAGGGGCAACAAATCAATGGAGTTCTACAATATATAGTATGTTAGCTACAATTTGAATTAAAAAAATATATATACATATATATAACATACATATACACATATATAACAGACATATACATATATAACATACATATACATATATATAACATACATATGCATATATACAATATACATATATATATACATTTATATACAGTATATACATATATACACATATATATACATATATATACATATATATACATACATATACATATACATATATATATACATATACAGATACATATACACATATATATATATATACATATATATATACATATATATATACATACACATATATACATATATATACATATATACATATACATACTATAACATAGCGCATACACCGTTAATAATACAAATCCCACCAATATATAGGGGCTATATACTGGCAGGCTAACTCTAGTACACATTTGATATGATCTCACGGGGCCAATATATAAATACATTGTGGACCAGATTTGGCCCCCGGGCCTGAGTTTGACACATGCCATATGTGGTTGTGTAGCAGACTGTGGTAGGTTGTTGTGCATTTGCAATTGTTCTCTGTTCTTCAAATGACAATCGGACTAAAATAAGACATTTGCGTGTCTACGTTGTATATTAAATTAATTGAGGTAATTTTAGAAAATGGCTGTCATAACCATTAGAGTTTCAACACAGAAAAAGCCTCAACAAGACTCTGCTAATTTACAATGGCACTGCGAGGTGAATATATTTGGGTCGAGCAGTCGATGGTGTGGAATATTTGTTTCCCCAAACCGTGCTTGTTTTGACGTTGACGCGCCTTTAATTGTCAATCCTCTGAGAAATGAATTAGTTTAAATAAATACTTTAATTGTCGAAGAAGTGTCACCAGTGCCCCCCCCCCTTAGGCGGCTTTCTAAAGAACAGCTCGAAAAAGAAATCATTCCCCACAGACGACGACAGGTCAAAGAACGTGAAATGTCTTCATGGTACACAAGGCTAGGACAAAGAGTAGCTGCCAGCGTTAGTCAAACTTCGGAAGTCCCCGAGTGGCCTTCCTGCTATGTTATGAGGTCTATAGCAAAGAAGCATCTCCAGTGTCTGCGTTTGTCGTCAGTAATCGAACGAGCCGAACTGTTCAACAGTCTAAGCGTCCCCTCCGAGCCTTTTTGTTAGTCACTTTGGAAAGACACTTTTTATTTGAAAGCAGACTTGACAGGATAAGGTCTCATTTGTTCAGCGGTGATCAAACCTGAGCAAACGTGCGCAGCATCCAGACGAGGGCCCTGAAGAGGCTGCAGTCTGTGCTGCATTCAGGTTTGACAGAGGAGGCAGGGAAACTAAAGCATTATTTCGGTCGTTTGGTCAGAACGTTGAAACGTCGCATCGGGTGCAAGAAGGTCTTAGGGCTTAGGTATCGGATTAGACAGGCTTCTGATGATGGATTCTGAAATATTGACCAATATCACACCGATACCCGGGTATCGGATCGTGCCGTCCCGAAACAATATACCAGCCATTATATGTTTGTTGCTGCCATTATAGCAGCTAGTTAATGCAACATGATATCAGGATTTCAAAGTACCGTATATACTCCCATATGAGCCGAATTTTAAACACCAAAAAATAAAGATCAAATCGAGGAGGTCGACTTATATGCGCATAAATACCTGGGACAGCATTTTCCCATCGATCGCATCATCACCAATAACAAACACCAAGTCAAACATGTGGTCAAAAATATCATTAGACTCAGAAATTAATTAAATCCACTCAATCTACAACTGATATTTCATAATTATTTTAACTGTACTACTGATATACAGTAACGCAAAAAATCACGTCAACAAACATTGGCGAAATCTTTGCAAGAGCAATGCAAAAAAATCTATTACGTCTATTCTAAATTTCACAACAAACATTGGCGAAATCTTCGCAATTTTAAATAGTCTTTACTATTTACATTTTACCACGGCAAAAAATTAAAAAAATTATGGTCGGCTTATTTGCGAGTTTTTGTAAAAAATTTTGGGATCAATTTTCAAGGGTCGGCTTATACGCGAATCGGCTAATACGCGACCGAATATGGTACTTTGATTGATTTGATACTTTTATTTCAAATTACCAATAAGAGAACAGAGAATAAATTAAATTTAAAAAATCAGGTATTGATTATGCAGATTATGCCCAGAGCAGTGGTATCAAACATATGGTCCGAGGGCCAAAACCGGCCCGCTATGGAGTTCAATCCGGCCCGCTTGATGAATTTTGATAGTGAAAAAAATGCACAAACACTTCACGTGAGGGATGTTTTGTCAAATGATATTTCATTTAATATGAATATTTTCTAATATACTTGTACTTATTTGCATGGAAACCAAGGGTAAAAACATGGACTTATATTTGGATATATATTTACAGGTAATTATTTTATGATTGTACTGGTCCGGCAAACTTGACATCTAATCAGGTTGTATGTGACCCCTAAATCCCAATGAGTTTGACACCCCTGATCTAGTACATATGTATACCGGTCACTAGAATTCATAATTTCTCTTTGAATCCCAAAGGCAAACACAGTTGTTGCATATTTCAGTGAAAAAAAAAAAAAAAAATACTCCAGTTTCCACTTGTTCTGGAAGCAGCGGGGCCTTGCGCTCAACTTTCCTTTTCCTATTCGCAGTTGCCATTTTGGAAATTGCCCAGAAAGGTTTCACGAGCGCACAGCACCAGAGGGCGGCTGCTCAGCGCTGCCGCCATCTTTTGGTGAAACATAAAATTGCATGTATTTTTAAATATGCATTCATAATCTGGGTACAATCCTGCTGGGTCACAGGTGATCCGATTTTATGACAGGCTGCGGGCCGTATAAAATTTGTCCCCGAGCCACAATTGGCCCCCGGGCCTGACATTGGACATGGCCTGCTATACTGTAAGACGTCTTACGACACATAGACAGAATACATTTCCCAGGAGAATGGATCAGCACAGCCACCTACAGTTGAAGAAGAACTTCAAGCTCGTCAAAACAGCCGAAGTAACGCGCGTGGGTTACAGTGATGCGCGTTCAGGCCTCGGTGAAGACAGCCGGTCTTGTGACAACCATCTAACCAGCCTGCAGATTCCTGGATCTACATGTAGGCTGGGAAGATGCCTGCTCACAGGACCAGCACCTGCAAGAAGCAGCAGCTTCCTTCCTTCCTTCCTTCCTTCCTTCCTTCACGCATCAAACATTTAAAAAGCGTTCCATCATCAGCTGATATTTATACAACAATCTTTGGATAATGGACCTTTTTTTTTTTATATAAATCTTTTATTACTGTTATTAAGGGCCCGTGTCTCGTCTGGGATCTGACCCCAGATCAGCTTTGTAGCGTCTCCCACTGGAGCCGCCCCCCCCCCCCCCCCCCCCCCACTGTGTTTTTTTTTTTTCTAATCATCTTCCAAGATAATTAGATTTTGTCTCTTGCCAGGTAAACCCAAGGCTTTTATCTTTATTGAGCTGAGCTGACTTCTCAAATCACCTGATACAAAAGAGCATCAGATCACAGCCCAGCGCTGGCCCACGTGACGCAGCCCAAACATTAATCACCGGGCACAAGGTACCGCGTGTCATAAAAGAGACAATACCTGTATTAAAGCTGTTTACCTAGAACCTTGACCGCAGCTCCAAGGACAATGTGAGTGAAGAGTGAAGACCACGGCTGTGGGAAAACCTTGCTGCTATATGAATAAATACAATATATGCCAAAAAAAAAAAAAAAAAAAAACAGGAGCAGGTACGTTAACTAAGAGATTTGAAAATAAATGTAGGATTTTATTTTATTTTTAAAAATTTTTTTTTTACCTTTTAGTCACACACAGATTTTGGGTTGCAAATAATCATTTTTGAATAAATCTTTCCCCTTTAGGCTAATCTAGCTATCTGGGCTATACTCAAATAAAATGACCAATCACAGTCACACCTGAAACTCCCTTTAGGGCAGTGGTCCCCAACCTCCGGGGCGCGGACCGGCATCAGCCCGTGGGTGAGTTGGTAATGGGCCGCACAGAAAAAACGCCTAACTTAAATTATTTTTGTTTTATTTATTATCTGATTCTAAAGGATGTTTTATTTTGAAAAAAATGACCAGATTCTCTCCGCCGCATCTGTAGTGAAACCCATGGTAGTTTCAATGGTTTTACACCCGGATTAGATTAATAGAGTATTGAAACCCCCATCTCTAAGTGGATTAGTTAATACTAGTGATGTTGCGCAGCAAATGTGACGTGCCAGTGAAAACACGCCTTTACATCCTGTAAATTTGAAGATTTTGGCCCACCTTTAATTGCAGAATTCAGAATGTGATTCTAAATGTTAAACTGCGATAAAGAGTCAGAGATAAAGAGACAGAGTCCAGAGATGACTCACCGATGTGAAGGCCAGAAGTTCCTCCTCAGTGAGTTTGTGGACTGGATTATTCTTTTGGAAATCATAACTGCAAGGTAACATTATGACAGTAGGTAAAAAAATATATATAAACAGCAATATATATATTTATTGTATATTTGTGTTCTTTTAGCAATGTTCCAAGTTCTAAGACAAATATTGATGAAAATATCAATACCGTTTATTACGTTAAAACCACAATTTAAATCTAAACATTTTTTGCCAAAAAAAAAAAAAAATGTCTTGCAGGTCAAAATACTGCTTGTCTTAAATACTTCAATAAAATGTACCACAACCTCATTGCTTAACAAAGAGTTAGTGCTAACACTTTGCAAATCCGCTTGTCTCTTATTCTATTTAATAAAATTGGAAATATTGTGAAATGACCTTTCATAGATGCAGCCTGTCATGGATATGTCTACATTTTCCATGTGAGTCCATTTAAGCGATGATTACCCAATATTTGGAATCATGAGGCATTGACCTTTGACATGGCAGACCACCGTGGGGACAGTGATATTAACGGCTTCGGTTTAAATATCTGTGAAATGTCACAATTCATCAAAACCATGTAGTAAGGATTGGTTTATAAAGGCTCTCACATCCTTCCCAGCGACTCCTGTCATTGTCATTACTGCTGTTATTATGTCAATCTCCAGGTAGTGGACTTACCAGATCCCCAGAACGACTGCCTGCTCCTCGGCGCTGAGGTCTGAAATCTCATATTGATCTGGTTCTGCTAAACTGATTCTGTCCAGCACCGTGTCATCACCGAGAAGGAGATCCTGTAAACACAGAAGCGGAGGAAGACGTCAGGGATGGGCATCGACGTCTCCCTTAAAGTGTCACATCAAAGTCGATATTTAACTGGAAGATTGAGCAATTACGTCAACTTTACAGCCTATTTTCATAGATCATCTCCTCTATTGCCACACCAACAATCTCCAAGTCAAACATAAGGCCCGTGGCCCAAAATAGGCACGCTACAAGGTTCAATCCGGCCCACTTGATGAATTTTAAAAGTAAAAAAAAAAAACCTAAACACTTAATGTTTGGGATGTTTTGTCAAACGAAAGCTCGTTAAATAATATTATTTCCTAAGAAACTTTTTTGCATGAAAACAAAAGGGGAAAAACATAATGAATTATGTAATGACTGTACTGGTCCGGCCCACATGACATCTGAACCAAAATGAGTTCAATGATATTTCCAAGCATGAACATCATAACATCCAGAGGTCAGTCTTGCATAAAAGTTTGCAATCTCGGTCTTTAAACCAGTGAAAATATGTGCCATATAACAGTCTGCAGACTGGCACAAACATCGACTTCATGTGCCTGAAGCTTGTAGTCAGGTCCATCGTCCTATTCTTGGCTCATTTCATTGATGCAAAGTAAACTGCCTTGGTCTAAACCTTTCATTGGAAAAAAAGTCGGCGCGGCAAATTGAGTTCCATTGTCAGAATTTACCTAAAAAAAATGCTTCATCAGCCCAGCAGGGGGTGTTTTTTTTTTTTTTTTTTTTAGACCAGTAAAGAATGTTTCCCGGCTCGCTCATATATTCCGTACCATCAGGACTTCTATCTAGATGGAAAGCCAGTGGGCCCTGGTTAATGGCTGCTTTGATTGAGACCATTTACTTCTACTCCTGCAGTAATGAAGGCATTAGTGGTAGATGGGCAGTAAAAGCCACTGGAGCTGGGCCACAGCCGTGAGACCGCGAGCCGCATACAAACTCTTTATTTACACTTTATAACACACAACTGAGGACGGAGCAAAGAGCCTGACCTGCTGGTCACTAACCAGACTTCACCACCTCTGGATGGTGAATGGTTGTTTTACTTGTGTCCAGTTGCATTTTTGCTTCAAAGGTTTTGTTTCCCCCAGAATTTCTTAATACAACAGACCGTTGCCTAGGCAACACAATAACCTCTAATAGGTTAGGTTGACATTAAAAAAACAGGATTTACATTCAATTTCTAATAATAGGTTAATACCATATGATTATTATGCATATGTCCTTTTTATCTTTTGCTGATATGCTAACACTATTCTGTACCAAGGACTAAAAAAAATTTTCAAAATAAAACATATTTTAGTCTTTATTCTGTTAGTTTTGACATATTATCTATGACTAAAAAAAAAAGTAAAGGGATATGACTGGGTTCTTTTGTCAATTAGTAAAACTGAAGTACATTTTTTTCACTGTGTCCCAGTACCAAATGACCTACGAACCAGCACCGGTCCCCGAACCAGAGGTTGAGGACCCCTGCTATAGGGCATCAATGAAGGGAACTGGCGTAGAAAAAAAATCAGATATAATTGATAAGTGACAATATTTTGTGAACGAATGCTCTAAATCTAAAGGAGTAGTATGACAGTTTGACAATCATTAAAAAAAAAAAAAAAAATTTATAATAAAGTTAATTTAGGAACCTTGTATCACCATCTCCATCTTCAATACATTATATATATATATATATATATATATATATATATATATATATATATATATATATATATATATATATATATATATATATATATATATATATATATATATATATATATATATATATATATAAAAATGTATATATACAATAGACCATTTATTAATGACAGTATCTTGTACCTTAGGTAGACTGGACACAGGCGTAGGACTGGGACTGTCTTGGTCATCCATCTTCTCACCGTGGTCCTGCTTCCGTTTGATCTCAAGGATGAGCTGAGCTAAATCCTTCTGCTGAAACCGGGTCCTTTTCCCCAGAGCACCTTTCAACGCGGTCCGATATCAGATATCGTTAGCTTGAATCCAGTAATCACCGGGTATCAAACAGGGAGAGCCTCCTGCTCTGTGGTCCGCTAACATACCTGTCATGTTGACGTCCAGCCCAGAGAGCTCTTGGGCCTTCACGATGTGTTCCTTGGCTGGCTGGTACTCGTAGTAGGTGAGATTGATGTAGACGCACTCCAGATGAAAGTGGATTGCCAAATTCCTCGACAACACAGAGGCGTGTTTCAGCACTGTGGACGATGGATCACAAGAGTCAGAATCAGTTCCTCACAACAGATAAAACACGGTAGTGTACAGAACAAAGTCTTTGTGGTTCACGAGCCTGATTAGATGTCAAGTGGGCCGGACCAGTACAATCATAACGCAATTACCTATAAATAAAAATAAGTCCATGTTTTTCCCCTTAGTTTCTTATGTACTAGAAAATGTTCATATTTAATGAAATAATAATAATAATTTTATTTTAAGACATCATGAACATTAGTGTTTGTGCGGTTTTTTTTTTTCACTTTCAAAATTCATCAAGTGGGCCGGACTGAACCATCTAGCGCATACGTGTCAAACTCAAGGCCCGGGGTCCAAATGCGGCCCGCCAAACCGTTTTGTGTGGCCCGTGGGAGCTTAAAAACCCTTCATGCAGTAGAGTTTCTTAACCTAATTTTTACTTTAATTAGTAAAAATTAAGTACATTTTTTCATTGTGTACCACTGCGGCCCGGTACCAAATGATCTATGGACTGGTACTGGTCCGTGGACCGAGGGTTGGGGACCCCTGGTCTATACAGTCGTCCAACAACCGGCCCTTCAAGGGGAACTGTATTGATGATGTGGCCCCCTGGTGAAAATGAGTTTGACACCCCTGCTCTAGAGCTACCAACCAACCACCAACGAGCCATTTTTGGCCCGCGGGCCTTATGTTTGACACCCCCTGGTGAAGATTATTTCGATTTGAATGGATAAATGAATGTGTTTTTATAGCCGTTTTTGCAATGCATGGAATCCATAAAAATGGAACCACTCGGATTTAAAAAAAAAAAAAAAATAAAATAAATAATAGGCCTGAGACACACGGATCATTTTCTGATGTGAAAACCATCTGAATGAAACTGGCTTCAGCCTTGTAATGAGTGCCGCTTCGCACTCAAACCTCGCACTCATAATTACTGAAGCTAAGGAGTGGGGGCCCGAGGTGAAACCCATTATAAAACAAACAAGAGCACACAGGTGATGACTGGGGAAGATTAAAGCTTTGTCTGCGCCTCGGATCCGCCTCCGGCCCTTCTTTCTGAACCTATTAATAATTTGGCCTCGACACAGGTCATATCACGGAGACAGATTATCATCTATAAGACTGGCAGGAGAGCAGAAGCAGAGAGCAGGTGTATTATTCATGATCAGAAATCAAACACTTTCCTGCGCGTACAACACTGATGTTTTGTAGAGATTTATACGCGACGACACGCTGTCACTTTTAGCGCAGCTGATGCAATGGTGTGGTGGCTGTGTGGGAGTAAACTTATTTTTATTTATGTGCCTTATCACTAAACAGTACAGGTGTTTACAAGGTGGCGCCCCAGTATGTTTGTGACAGTGTTCTACAATGCTAATGTTATTATGCTAATATCGTTTCCGGATGCTAACTGAATTAGCATCTGGTCCTGTGGTGAGAGAAGGGTTTTTTTTATATATATATAGCATATATATATATATATATATATATATAGCATATATATATATATAAATATATATGCTATATATATATATATGCTATATATATGCTATATATATATATATATAGCATATATATATATATATATATGCATGCATATATATATGCATATTTATATATATATATACACTAAGTATATACATATATAAATATAAATATATATATAAATATATGCATATTTATATATATATATATATATATACTTAAAATGAAAAGACAGAGGTGAATGTAAATTTTTCTGCGTATACATTGTTGAACATACACACATTTGCAACTTGAGCTTAAACAAAATTTAATTTAGTGTGAGTGTAACCAGAATTGTAACCTAATTCAAGTATGCCTCGGTGGAGGACTTTGATTAAAAGTAAATCTGAAGCAGGTCATTTATATGTTTGAACCCCTAAATTCAGTTGTATTTCGATTTTCAGCTTTGCTTCGCACTTAGAAAGAGAGAAAGAGAAAGACACTTAGCGTCTTACTGGTGTCGTGTTCGACTTTGAAAGAGCATCACGGTCTCTGTGACTGACCTTTGTCCACGCTACTCTTGGCCAAACTGAGGAGCTGCGGCGAACGAGCCTCCAGGATCTGTTGATGTAGGTTGATGTAGCGAAGGGTCCACCAGGGCAGCAGCTACAGGCACAAAAAAAAAAAATAATTGAGAAAAAACACTGAGAAGAAAAAAAAAGGAACTACTGTCCTGAGACAACTCACTTATCCTTATGCACAAAAATGTGTTTGCCGCCCTTGGCATCAACTCGATCAAAACCACACAACTGCAGGGAGCGGAAAGTTACACTGTGACAGACGTGGCTTCCCTAATTGTCCACTCACAGCTAAGTGGCCTCACCCCTGAACGCCCCAGTTCCTCTTCAACACGAGCAGCGAAGTGGCATCGAAGCACGTAAAGAGCTGATTAACGTGTCAGTGAGGATATATCCGGCCTCGTTCACACGGAAGATGACCTTTGGTGCATGGTTGCACAAGGCTTAATTGTCTCTCGGAATCGATCGCCCCTGCAACGCACATGCCAAGCTTGTTCACGCATGCATGTGGACACGTAGCATCGCCGTCGACATGCATCGTTGGCAATTGTGTTCCTCACCCACCTAGAAGAAGAGGTGGGAGGGGCGGCGCTAATTGATTTCCGTGTTGCTCATTAGCATTTGAAAGGTAAAATTGAAACGAAATCATCTCTCAGCAGAAGGAGGTCGACGCAAATGTGTCACATGGGCTCGCATTTGAACTGTTGACGTCAACAGAATGAGTGACAGCTGACTCCGAACGCCAACATGGCCTGAGCACAAAAACTAATGTGTTTACGTTATACGATATATACTAGGGCAGGTAAGGGAAAACTAAGGCCCGGGGGCCGGATGTGGGCCGTTCGGCTTTTTAATCCGGTCCACCAAACATTTCCAAATTATATAATTTATTTATATTATCATTGTACTTCTGCCATTTCCCTGCAATACCCATGTTTCCCCAGTAGATGGTGTAGAAAATGATAAAAGCATTTTAGCATGTTAGCCTTTATGCATGACTTTTACATGTCATTTATCTTAGTTTACACGAACGCGCCATCTATCTGCTCCTGACCCGGCCACCCTGTTCAATTTGCCCACGCCTACATATTTAATTCAATTTATTTCTATATATTAATTTTTTTATTTTTATATATATGCACTTAAAATAAGTGATAAATAAATAATAAAATTTAAAAAAAAAAGTTTATTATAGTTTCTGTCACTTTCTCTGCTAACAGGTTCCAGTACTTTTATAATGGAATACAATATGGTTACCATCTCTGGTGAATAGCTACATTTTATAATGCTGCACCAGTAATATTTATGTAAAAATATGGTGACTCATCTCATGAGGCAAGCCAACAATGACTTTGGGGTTCGGAAGTTTTTTTAAGAAAGCTTCAATCTTCAAGCTCTGAGATTACTTACTGAGCCGAAGAGTTCTTGACACAAATTCATCTGACAGAGTCTCTGACAGAGGCTTAGAACGGTGCTTCACCTCTGAATAACCTCATTCATCACCAAAGCTTAACTTTATTGCTTCTGTCAGTTTTTAAATCCAACTATTCATAACTCCTTCATACTAGTGATGGGAGTAACGATTCCATGGTATTGAGTATCGATTACTCTCATAAAGTATTGATACTAATTAATGAAAAAAAAACAAAAAAACCCATGTGTCACGCACACATCTTTCATGGTAACCTACTACATACAGTTTTTTTACAGGTAACGTGAACCTGAAGATATAATTAGTCATTTAGCCTGAAGCTATAAATAACCAAGATCAAGTGTTCATTGACGGCTTCATCAGTGAATATGTGATCAGACAGACTTGGAAGCTGTCCCCATTCAGTCAGTGGAACCACTTTAAGGACTGAGATAAATATAGACCTCACTGTCTGCGCAAAGGCATTTTTATTTTTATTTTCTATAATAAGATAAAGAAGGAAATCACATTGTTGAAACACTTTGAAAAATAGGTTTTACGTACACTATACTTTGCTCTCATCGGTGACATGAGTTGTCAAGTTCCTGGTGGATTGTAGTGTTAAGAGTGACATTAACATATGTGATGTTTCACCTGAAAACCAACAACTAGTACAATGTAGAATTTTTATTTTTTTTTTTCCAAATATGGAAGTGGAAAATAACAATAAGCCACACTATGTTTTTGTAAAATCAGAAAAAAAAAATAAATTGGTAATTCAGAGGGTATATTGGGGAAAAAAAAAAATAAATCACATCTTTAAAATATCAGTGTTTAGTCAGAAGTTTGCAATAAAGAAACTCCAATTCTTGCTCTAGAAATTCTACTCTTCGTAATGTAGTTACTTTCATTAAAGTCTGCCAAACATCACCAGAGGTCAAGTGGGTCGGACCAGTACAATCATGACATAATCACCTATAAATAACAATAAGTCCATGTTTTTCCCCCTTTGTCTTCATGCAAAGAACTACGTTAGGAAATATTCATATTTAATAAAATATCATTTGAAATAACATCATGTATTTGTGCATTTCTTCACTTCACAAAATTCATCAAGCGGGCCAGAATAAACCCCCCCCAGCGGGCCGATTCTGGCCCACGGGCCATATGTTTGAAACCCATGCTTTAAAATGAAGAGGTGGTTATACAGCAAACGAGATGCGTTCTTACCTGAAGGCTTTCCATTTCAGACGAGCATTTGGTGAGAATAATCCTGGCCAGCAGGAGCAGGAAGGGGTTGGCCACCAGGCTGTATACCGACTCCCCATCCAGAAGCAGGCAGGAGAGGACGGCCTCATTTAATGTTTGGGGCTGCAAATCAAAGATATGCAAATGAGCGCAGAGTCTGAGTCAGAAAGACAGGCTTTAACCTGACGTCCCCGGCTGGTGCACTGTGGATCCTGCTACATGTGGGTAAAAGACGGGTAACAACTGTGCAGCTTGACACCAGTGAAAGTCTGACAAAAAAAAACACAGGTTGAAATCAGTCAACAGAGCAGGAGACGAAGACGTGTGTGTGTGTCTCTACCTGAGCAGAAAGCAAGGCGGCTGGCAGAAAGTCGGACGCCTGGATGGAAACTGGAGGACCGGTCCAGTTACTTTGGGCAAACAGGTGGAGTGAGGCCACAGCCAGGGCCATCACTGTCAGCTCCCTGCAGCGGTCAGGAAAATAGACATTATTTTTAGCAACATGATACTCAGTTTGGAAGAGAATTTGTACCATCAATATGAGACATAATGTTTTCCATTTTATCATCATTATGTATGGGTGTCGGGGTAGACCAGGCATGGGCAAACCAAAGCCCGAGGGCCAGATGCGGCCCGTTCAGCTTTGTAATCCGGCCCGCCATACTTATTCCAAATTATATAATTGGGTTGTATTGTGATTGTATTTCTGCCTTTGCCCTGCAATGCCCACATTTGTCCAATAGATGGCATAGAGAAGGCTAAAACTATTTTAGCATTTTATCCTTTACGCATGACTTTTACATTCATTTATCTTGACCCGGCCCCCCTGTTCAATTTTAGGACCAACTGTGTCAAAAACTTTGCACATGTCTGGCGTAGACAATCAGAAAAGGAAAACACGCGGAACTCACGTCCTCGACTATGCGCTGTACTTACGATACATTTATTACCAATAGCAATAAATTACGAGTTAAGGGTACTAAGTTAACGACAATATATTGTCCCAAATATTTGTGGGACATATTGGATCATTAAAAAAATGAGTGGAATTCTGGCGTCCAGCAGCCGTTAAAACGCTTTCCTTCTCTATTTACCTGTTGGCCCGGTCATCCTCGGTGCCATTGGTCAGGTATGACAGGAGCTGTTTTTCCAAGTAGGCATCAATCTTCTCCCCATCACAGCAGCTGCCATCACTCTTGAGCAAATCTAACGACTGGGGGCTGAGTAGAACTGCCTCGAAGTCCCCGTCGATCAAGGACTCCAGAAGAGAAGCTGCATCTGGAATATTAAGAAAGTCGTTGAAGAGGGAGGCGGGGGGGATGGGGGGGGGTGTCGCAGGAGAGGGAGCTGTGATTATTCAGTGCGATCAGTGGAACCACTGACTGATGTTCAGGCAGATGTTAAACCAAATGTTTGGGATTTTTTTTCTTCGTATAAACGATTGTAGATAGCGAGTGATCAAATGAACGCCGGAACACAGGTATCGTGGCAGTAAAACTTGCTGAAAAGAAGATAAAAATATCCTTATGAGATCGGAAAGTATGTGGAGAGGGCATAGCAGGAAGTTGAATGTATTACTGCGGACAGACAGCTGATCTCATCTCCAAGGTTAAGAACGAGGGGGGGGTTTTGGCAACTTTTGAATCCGCAGCAACTTTCTGCTGTCTTATTAGATTTCACACGCCAGCTTCCCAGAAATGTACAACGGGGTTGGGGACAAACGCAATTATACAAATGCAGTTATTTGGAATTCTGAGCTCCGACGATTGCACCATGCTATTAATAGACCCTCAGCTAGGAGTAACTGTTCAGGAGGGCCAGGTTGATACTGTGTGGGCTGACAATTGTCTAAGTCAGGGCTGTCAAACTCCAATTCACAGTGGGCTAAAATAAAAAAAAACTGGGACAAAGTCGCAGGCCAAACTTAATATTTATTGAAAAAAAATGAAGTCAATTGTGCATGTTTTCCCTTCTCTCCTTATATGTAATGTTGATTTTTGTTTTTCATATGGAAACTTTATTTTTGTATAAACATTCAATCTGGAACAACCTGAGCTTAATATTGTAACATTAGCAACTCAACTGCCGTTCAAGGCCAAATAAGAATAAGGAAAAAAATTAATTACCAGCACTAAATACAGGCCCTGACCCTCACAACGCGCTCATATACCGGCTCTATTGGCATGAAGAGAATCTCATCATGGTCGCACTGAGACATAAAGCTGTCCGTGGCCCTCTTATCGAATCTTCAGGTTGGTCGTACGATCCTTTAAATGTGTCAATGACTTGTATAAATAATTGCAGTGTAAATGGTGCAGTAAATGAGCATGGCTGAGCTAATGAAACCCAGGGGCTACTGTGATAGCACAGGGAAAACAATAGAAGCCGCCAAGGAGAGGAGGAGAAAAGAAAAAAAAAAAAAAGTGCTGTGGCTTTATGAGGGGGAAAATTAAAAACCTGAGCTATGGCCACATGTCTAATGACATTTCAGCCACCCTTCAGGGCTGCCCTGGAAAATGGAGGCAATTATAGACAACAAGACAGAGAGCCTCGGGTTTGGTTGGTGAACTGCAGTTCTGAACCCGATATGAAAACACACCCAGTGTCGAGGCATCAGGGACCAAAGACTAGGGATCATAATTATCTTACCAATTACAATGAACCAAGACTTTAACAATAACCATCACCAGGGTTTATTTCATACTTAAAGTTTTTAACTAACATCGTATGAATGACGGGTTTTTTTTCTATTCAATAGTTGCTGTAAATTACCCAACTATTAGTTTTATTACACTTTAACAATAACCATCATCAGGGTTTATTTCATACTTAAAAGTTTTTAACTAACATTGTATGAATGACGTTTTTTTTCTTCTATTCAATAGTTGCAGTAAATTACCCAACTATTAGTTTTATTAAACAAGGGTCAACATAGAGTCTACAATAGTCTAAAAATTGAGCACATCTAAATGAAAACGTAGCTTTTAAATGTAAGGGATTGCCTCTCCATTTTTCAATGACAACAAAAAGTTGTGTCTAATCTAAACCTTCATTAATATTAGTTTGCTATTTCTTTTTCTTATTCTTTTTTTTTTTACATCTCGTGATTATCTGCATTGGCTTATTTTTTTTTTTTTTTTTTTACCTTCTTCTATTATACATATTATTTGGCCTGCAAGCAAAGTCCACAAAGAAAAGCCATCTTCACACCACTGAATAGAAATTACTGAAACTATTTATTTTGACAGAAGGTCAAGTTTTTCTATTATTTTTCTTGCCTCTCATTTCTTGTTAACAGACACTCTTAACTGGCTGTGTATTAGTGGACTACACACTTTTTAAAAAAATAACTTCCCCTGTATCTTTTTGGATAGGAGCAGTACCGACAGCCATGTTTTTTCACTGAGAGCGGGCATGCTTGAAGCTGCTGCTTCTGGGGACAAAGGGAGCCAAGAGAGGGTAAATAAAGTTTAGGTACATGGTTTGCATTTTAGTAAGTAAAAGGAGGGTATTTTTTTTATTTCCTTTAAAATGTCAGTTGACCTTTTCTAATGACAATACCTCCTTACACAATACATTTGCCCTTTTACCTGTCTAGTTACTATCTTTTCTAAATTAAACCAGTATAAATTAAACGGTTCAGACATAGAATTAGCAACTACACAACCATTATAATAATGTTTACTAATGTCATTAAACAAGTAACTTTACAAAGATAATAAACCGGGTTCTTATATTAATAATAGTCAATCTTTGGGGTTTCTTTAACGACTTGCTTGAGGTCTCCGTCCATTTAGGGTCTAAATGATACCCTAAATGGACAGTATATAAAAGGTATACAAATATATAAAGGTATAAAAAGAAACAAGCAAAAAAAACTATGAACTCTTATAAAGCACACCAATGTCTTTTAGTGACATTTGATATCCACTTTTCTGTTTTAACAATTTAGCAAAACTAGCTGTGCGAACTGATTGCGAAGCCATCGAAAATTGTACTTCAGTTCACGTGGTCAGTATGTTAAGTGCTGGTTTTGTCGCGCAGATCTGGCACCCCTAAACAAAAGCCGCCTCGAGCGTGACGTAAAGCCACGGCAGGGAACGAGTTAAACACAGCAATGACACATGGAGTGTACATGACACGAGTTCGCTTACTATGAACCTCCTGACATCTCTTTCCACCACCGTGAAACTGGAGCTAACGGAAGCTAATGTGTCAGGTTGACTTTTAGCTCTAACATATCTTACGTCCATTAATGTGCCGAACTGCAGCACTGCTGACAATATTGTGAAAACCTTACTGTGTTGTTCGCAATACACCTCCTGTCTCACGTAACGCCGCTACTAAATCATAACCAGACTGAAATTTAAATGCTATCTGGCAGAACGTTGAGACACAAAGGGACACGCTGTTTCCATTAATATAAGCGAATAAGAGAAAATATTATAGTCACTTAAATGTCTAAAGTTTAAAGGGAAGAGACGTCAAGTTTAAAGTGAAGCTCAAATAAGTGCAGAAGCTGCGTAGCTGTCAGTGCGGCTACACCGCTGTAGATTAACATTCACTTCGCCTTAGCGCCAAAAAAAAAAAATCTTCTGCAGCAGGACACAAAGTCTGCTAATACCAATGGTTATCAGCACCGGGTGAATTCATCACATATACACTCACCCGCAGTACAGTGAACACCCTGCTTCCATTCCGCTGCCTCGGTGCTCGTTAAAAACCCTCGCAGCACCGGGATCTCCACGTCCAGAGGCATTACTTCCGATCACCTCCACTGACTGAGAACGTGTGTGTGCTCCTGCTGCTCCCGCCGCTGCCGCTGTATTGACGTAGAGACTTGGTTTTTCCTCAATCGCAGGGAAAGTGTTTATTTCTACCCATGTGGTGCGAGCAGCATCAGTGAGCAGCCATGACAGATACCCGTTGCATTGTGGGAAAATTAATCGCGGCTTCGCGAAGCAAAGCTGTTTGGCTTTTTTTTTTTTTTTTACTGCCTGCTGATTGGGCTGTGGATAAAAACGACCAGTGGAAGTTATGTAAATTGAGTCTTACAGATGTGTTAAAATACACAGACAGAGCCACATCTGTCCAAACATCTTTCCTAAACGTATATTTATATATTTTTGTAGAAGTCAATTTCTACTTGTGTGATAAAAACGTACAATTTTCATATAATGACAAACTAACTCGGTGAGATGCTATGTCGTAGCGTTGGGGAGATACATAACACGTAACACGTAACATTCGGACAGTATTATCTAATAATAAGGTAGTATCGCATAATATCGACAAACCATCTCACGATATTGATAAGTATTTATTGAGTATTACGTATTTTGATAGTAATATTGTAATAGCCTATTATATACTGTCTTGCAGTGACGACACTTTCTGAAAAGGGTTTAAATATAAATAAAGTATCATATGAACTACCTATAAATTGATATATAATAGTCACATAGCAATTACAACGTAAATATACATTTTTGTGTACTATTTATATATATATATATATCTCATGAAATCGTGGAAATATCTAATAAAATAGTTTTACTCAACTATCTATCTCATGAAATCGGGAAAATATCTAATAAAATAGTTTTACTCAATAAATCAATATAAAAAATAATAAAGTGTTACAGTATACAACATATACAGTATAAATACGTTGTCATGCCAACCATGTACTGATTAAAAAGAACAGCGCTTCTTTACTATTCAATTTTAGATGGAAACCTACCCTCTGCACTGCATCTTGGTGGTACAAAATAAAATAAAAATAATAATAATAATAATAATAATAATAATAATAATAATAATAATAATAATAATAATAATAATAATAATAATAATAATAATAATAATAACAATAACAATAATAATAAGATAGATATGTAATACTAATAATAGATAATAATTTTGATCGCCTCTGTACTTTGTGACTATACAGTCGTATACTCACCTACTATAGTACGACCTTTACAATAAAATGTTGCCTGGGAGTACGCTTTATTAGAATTCTCTCTGCATGCTTCGGAGTTCTTTGGTATTCATGAAGATCATTTGGATCTTATGTTCACCACGATCATATTCCCAGGCTTCCAGTTACAACCACTATGATGAATTTCAGGGCCTGGGATTGAATGAGCACAGCGCAATGAGTCTCTGTGCTGTCGATCTAAAGCAGTAAATAATAAGCATGACAGTTGTGTGAGCAGGTTGAGTCGAGGTGGTTTAAGGCCAAATATGTCGTTGGAGAAGGAAAAAAAAAACTGTATAAATCTCCACAGATTAAAATGACCACAGTACCACAATACAAGGCAGCCAAAAAATATTTTAGCTCAATCTAATTTGGGTAATGTGAGTGTAGCGGGAATTCACATTCTGTCATGCCTCCACAGTAACATCAGTCCATTATGTACTGCTTATACCATAACAAATTGAAAATTTTAATTCATTCAAAAAGTGCGGCACGACGTGTACTACACAGAATATCATATTAATATACACCTAAAAATTATTTAGATGATAATGATCAGTAAAACATATTCTTTTTTAGAATGCCATAAAATCTCAATTAAGATTTTCTCAACAGTAGTAAGTTATATTGTATACGTATTAGGTTTTTCAAAATAAAAGTGTGTCATAAACAGCACTTCCCTCTATCTCTGTGGTAATTGGCTGTTTAAAGGTAACTTCCGGGTCTTTAGGAAATGCAATCTAATCAACGGTAACCAAAATAAAAGCATGGAATGAAATTGAAAAAACAAAAACAAAAAAATAAGTTAGACTTGACACACCTATACTTGGCGCCTCCTGTGGGCATCGATAAAGTTAAAATTAATATAAGTAAATGAATGATGCTTTCCCTTGAATGTTCAGACTGATTTCCAGTAAGTTAAAGAAAAAAAATTTTTTTCAACTTACCCAAATAAAACACAACTGTTTTCCCACGTAGCAGTAATAACAACATGAATTATATTAATATCAGACTGCTTTAAATTTCACTGTTACACTGAAAATTTGTTTGATTTAAAAACATAGTTTGTTCGTTTTTAAAAAAATAAATTCCAGTGGCCTCAGAGTTCTGGGGCAGTTACTGAGTGAAGTCTACTGATCTGTCTCTCTCGCGTCTTCAACTCACCGTCTCATTCTACCAGAGGAGTTCGAGAGTCGTTGTTCGTCTCTGCCTGTCACACCAAGTCAGCTGGGATTGGCTCCCTCTTCGGCCCTTGGGAAAAGTGTCAGAAAATAAATGGATGTGTTGTTGTTGTTGTTGTTGAGAAAAACAAATAGTCCCTTCAACATCTGGTGAAATCTTCGGTCAGGCACTCAGTGTCTCTCTCGCTCCTCGTTCCCATTTGTCATCTCACACCTGTCGCCGCGGTTCACCATAAAAAAGAGGCAGTCGCACAACCACTCTGTATTTTCAAGCTCATTTAATGTCCTCGCAAAAAGGAGTATGACTGTTCTATGGAGTGAGCAAAATAGAAAGTGCATTATTTGTTCAATTGAGTTCAACAGAATAAAAAAAGACTAAGCATTTTTTTTTTATTAATATCAGACGGAGCAGAATCATTAGTTTTTGTAGAAATAGCAAAGTAATCAGTAAAGGTACTCTCCTTGAGTATTTGGTGGTATGGTGTCGATCGAAGGCACATCACAGCTTTGTATCTTACTGGGGGATTGTTGCACACGCACAGAAAACACACATACACATGCATAAGCCTTCAAAATACAGTTCTGATGTGACACAGTCCGGTGTTGACGGGGGAACAGTCGCGAAGAATGTCCGTGAATCCGAAAGCGTGGCGCTCGACGACGCGGTGAACGCAAGATTAAAAATGTCCACGTGAGCCTTTATTCAGAAGGATGAGATCGTGGAGAAAAATCAAAAGAAGCAGTAGATGAAGAGAAGGGCTTTTATCTGTGATTCTAGTACTCGTGTTTTTTTTTTGCTTATACCATAACAAATTGAAAATTTTAATTCATTCAAAAAGTGCGGCACGACGTGTACTACACAGAATATCATATTAATATACACCTAAAAATTATTTAGATGATAATGATCAGTAAAACATATTCTTTTTTAGAATGCCATAAAATCTCAATTAAGATTTTCTCAACAGTAGTAAGTTATATTGTATACGTATTAGGTTTTTCAAAATAAAAGTGTGTCATAAACAGCACTTCCCTCTATCTCTGTGGTAATTGGCTGTTTAAAGGTAACTTCCGGGTCTTTAGGAAATGCAATCTAATCAACGGTAACCAAAATAAAAGCATGGAATGAAATTGAAAAAACAAAAACAAAAAAATAAGTTAGACTTGACACACCTATACTTGGCGCCTCCTGTGGGCATCGATAAAGTTAAAATTAATATAAGTAAATGAATGATGCTTTCCCTTGAATGTTCAGACTGATTTCCAGTAAGTTAAAGAAAAAAAATTTTTTTCAACTTACCCAAATAAAACACAACTGTTTTCCCACGTAGCAGTAATAACAACATGAATTATCTTTTACAAAGACTGCTTTAAATTTCACTGTTACACTGAAAATTTGTTTGATTTAAAAACATAGTTTGTTCGTTTTTAAAAAATAAATTCCAGTGGCCTCAGAGTTCTGGGGCAGTTACTGAGTGAAGTCTACTGATGTGTCTCTCTCACGTCTTCAACTCACCGTCTCATTCTACCAGAGGAGTTCGAGAGTCGTTGTTCGTCTCTGCCTGTCACACCAAGTCAGCTGGGATTGGCTCCCTCTTCGGCCCTTGGGAAAAGTGTCAGAAAATAAATGGATGTGTTGTTGTTGTTGTTGTTGAGAAAAACAAATAGTCCCTTCAACATCTGGTGAAATCTTCGGTCAGGCACTCAGTGTCTCTCTCGCTCCTCGTTCCCATTTGTCATCTCACACCTGTCGCCGCGGTTCACCATAAAAAAAGAGGCAGTCGCACAACCACTCTGTATTTTCAAGCTCATTTAATGTCCTCGCAAAAAGGAGTATGACTGTTCTATGGAGTGAGCAAAATAGAAAGTGCATTATTTGTTCAATTGAGTTCAACAGAATAAAAAAAGACTAAGCATTTTTTTTTTATTAATATCAGACGGAGCAGAATCATTAGTTTCTGTAGAAATAGCAAAGTAATCAGTAAAGGTACTCTCCTTGAGTATTTGGTGGTATGGTGTCGATCGAAGGCACATCACAGCTTTGTATCTTACTGGGGGATTGTTGCACACGCACAGAAAACACACATACACATGCATAAGCCTTCAAAATACAGTTCTGATGTGACACAGTCCGGTGTTGACGGGGGAACAGTCGCGAAGAATGTCCGTGAATCCGAAAGCGTGGCGCTCGACGACGCGGTGAACGCAAGATTAAAAATGTCCACGTGAGCCTTTATTCAGAAGGATGAGATCGTGGAGAAAAATCAAAAGAAGCAGTAGATGAAGAGAAGGGCTTTTATCTGTGATTCTAGTACTCGTGTTTTTTTTTTTGTTTTTTTTCTTCTTCTTTCTCTTAGTCTTAAATATAGTTTCCTTAAAGAATGGCCAGTCTATCCTCGGTTATAGCTGTCCTCACACTAACAGAAAAAAATAAAAAAAAAAAAAACAAAAAAAAAAAAAAAAAAAAAAAAAAAACTAACAGAAATGAACATTTAGTAAACATTCTTCTCTAAAGGTAGTTTCCCTCATATACTCTGCCACTTCCGTCTTCCAATATGTATACATTAACAAGTTTAATAACATACCAATCAGTGGTTATTTCACAATTGGGAAAAAAAGCACAAAATGTTTACACTCTTTTACAAGTAAATAAAAGTTCTCCTCAGCTGTGTTCAATACGAGGGTCATCTCGTGTTCAGAGTTCATCTCGTCGTCTTGTATGCCCCCCGCCCCCGCCACGTCCGCTCCTTCTATACGTTCTGCCATTAGATCTTTACATACAAATATTGACAAAGTGGCTTCATTACAAGCCCTTGAGTCTTTTCAAAAAAAAAAAAAAAAAAAACAGAAACATGTGTTCCTATCACTCTCCATCAGTCTGCTCAAACAGTGTAGCTTATTTCTTTTGGATTCCACAGAATTTACACAAATACGCAGGTATTCACAACAGGTCACCCAGCTGTCTAGTTTCTCCGTTCGACTTGGAGGAGCATCGTGAGCTAAAGCTGTGACAGCAGCACTGTTTGGACTTTTGTTCTTCCTTTTTTTTTGTTGTTGTTTAAACTTAGTCAAGCCTTTGGCTCGTCTTCCTGTTCAAGGCAGGTCTCTTACTGTAATAAATGTAGAAGTGCCATTTAGGAGAAAAGCAAAAGAACACTCGTGAGCTTAGTTATAATGACAGCTCTGCTCTGTCACAGTTTTTCTTTTTAGATCCTGATTTACATATAGACACGAGCGAAATATCATGAGGTCAAGACAAAGTAGTTTTTTTTGCACAGTTACTAAAATTCCATCATTCCCTTGAAAATGGTCCAAAATTTACAGAAGTGTGTTTTCTTTTTTAAATTTAACTTAGGTAAGGTTTTACTTTAAGTTTTACACTAGCCCAGGCATGGGCAAACTTTTTGACTCACGGGCCACAATTGTCCTAAAATTGAACAGGGGGGCCGGGTCAGTACCAGATAGATGGAGCAGTTCTATGCTCCATTTATCCGATAAATGACATCGATAAGTGACACCGATAAATGACATGTAAAAGTCATGCATGAATGCTAAAATGCTTTTATCATATTCTACACCATCTGTTGGGGAAAAAGCAGAAGTATAATGATTTAAAAACCCACAAACTCCTAATCTGTTCACTTGAATATGTCTAGTTGTATATGTTGCTAGCGACTGTTTTTTGTTTTCTCTAGAAGTAGCGATACTGGAGCGATACCTGCTGCAACTAACCCCGGAGCAGCAATTCATTTTACAACTGACATATGGACTAGTAACGCTGGTTTAAAGTCAACGCGACACTCATTGGACAGACAGATTGTACAGACCTGGGTGACTTTTTGTATATGCTGTCAATTGAAGGAAAATCGGTATGAGCGAACATCGGTCACACAATGAAATGTCGAGAAGTCGGCCAAAAAAAAATTATTTTAAGCAGTGTTTTCAACCATGGGGTCGCAACCGCAAGTGGGGTCACCTAAAATGGCAAATCGTTGATAAAATAAAATTTTAAAAAATACTCTTTTTTTAACTTATTCGTCTCCGTATGTCACACCAGGTCACACTTTTATTATAATTCTTCTTAAAAAACTCTATTTGTTCACTTGAAAAAATATGCACAATGCAGCATATAAAAATGCAACTTGATTGACGGATGCGATCACGTGACTGTTCAAGTGACAGCTACGAAAAAGTCTATGTGGCCGCCAAAGATTTGTGATCAAAATGGCGTCACAAGCCAAAGAAATGGTTGGGAACCACTCGATCAAAGAGTGTCATGCTTTTTTTTTTGCAGATATTTTCCCTTTTTTTTTTGCTGTTTTTTTTTTCTTATGTGCAGCAACGTCAGTTGAAGGCAAACACCCCGTGACGAGGTGAGGGTAGAGATGGTATAGATGTGTGGGGATTTTTCAGGAAGAGGAAGTATGATCACCGACATTAAGTCACTACAAGAGCTAATTCTGAGTTAACGTGAGTCAGTGTAGCGTCAGACGGCCGTAAAGCGGCACCTCTGCGGTGCATTTCCACTCCGCTCGGGACGTGCAACGGCCTTACCTTCAGTGCAGCAGCGTGGTGGGACATGGTGCGGCCGACCCTCTTGTCGCTGCTGTACTGCTGGATGTCGGCAATCCACTCCTCACACTGAGACATGATCTCTGTGCGCTTCAGGTAGAAGTGCTTGTGGATCACCTGAGGAGAAAAAAACACAGAGACACGAAAAAGGTCAAACACCACCAAGACATCAGACGGTTCTTCTACAGAGGAAAGAGCAGGGTGGCTCAACAGCACCTTTAGAAGATAACTCTTTAATGTCACAGCACAGTTATACCAGTACTACAATACAACCAATTTCTGGCACTTTGTTATCTTCATAAGGAAAGATTAGATCCTTTGGACTTACCCTCATCTGTTTCAATGGATGGACGTCTATATTATATATCCTTATAAATATACATATATAAATCCATAAATAAATATACATCCATATAAATAGCATATTTATATGGATGGACGGCCCGACATTAGCATAGTTACGTAATATCTGTAGGAATCTTAGATAATGCAATGCTTGGGTTTCGCCAAATGATGTATGCCCTAAAAATAGTTTTGGGGAAAAACGGCTGTATATGAAAATAAAAGCCACTAGATGGCAGCATTGTAGTTTATTTAATTAATCTATTTTAATAATGAGGGGATCGTATGCAGAATGCCGGTGCCCGCAACTCATACAGTGGTTTGTACGGATAAATAAATAAATAAATAAATATAACCAGGCCTATATAATCGGATATATCGTAATCGGAAATGTTTGGACATTATCGGCATATCGGATATTGATAAAAAAGTTAATATCGGACAACCCTTATTTAAATACTTCATGCATAGGTCACCTAACCACCTTCTATATCAGCGGTGTCGAACTCATTTCCACCAGGGGGCCACATCATCAATGCAGTTCCCCTTGAAGGGCCGGTTGTAAATGTTAGACTGTATAGATCAGGGGTCCCCAAACCCCGGTCTGCGGACCAGTACCAGTCCATAGGTCATGTGGTACTGGGCCGCTTTGGAACACAGGTTAAGAAAACTCTGCTGCATGAACTTTAATAAATGCTTTTTAAGCTCCCGCGGGCCACACAGAACGGCTTGGCGGGCCGCATTTGGCCCCCGGGCCTTGAGTTTGACACATGTGTTCTATATCTTTCGGACCATCATTGTTTAAAAGACTATGAAATTTTGAGAAGAACCTCAGGTCGTCTGTCAGGTATGATACGTCATGTTCGCCTGTTGAAATAAAGCTATGAACAGAGATACTACACGAGACACTGCACAGTTGACAACTTCCTTATTAATTTAACCTACTCATATATGAGCAGTTTTCTACCAAACCTCCATGTTATCATCTACTATCATTAAGCCTTTCAGGACGTGAGTACAAACTTGTTAAATGCCGTATCCTTCTAAGAACACGTAGGCAGATGCCTCGGCGTCTCTCGTCTGCACTCCGCAATCTTTCTAATAGAGCATCTAACGCAGGCAGCATACAAATGTCTCCATTACTGAAGGCCCTCCACAAAATCAAAGTCCCTCTTTCACTTTGGAGCTGTTTCTTATCAGAAGCGCTGAACTCTCTGACATCACTTCTGCTCGTTCTGTGAAACAGGTTACGTCAATCTCAGACACGCGCTCGGCCCCAAGCGCCGCCCCTTCCGTCAACATCCTAGCAACAGTCGCCATGGTGAAGACATCAGTATGCAGCGAGCAGCGTGGTGGAAATGTCTGTAGCCGCTGCTCTGCTCATAGAAAGAGTGAATTAGTTATTATGGTGGCTGCTGATTTACTGCTCACCAAGAGGAGGGAGGAGGGGCAAAGAGGCCACGAGAAAGCCTCGCTTCAGCTCCGAAACGTCTGCGATCGCTGTCTACCTTTGGCGCTTCCGACTTCGGCTTCCCATCCCCCGAATCTCACAATTAATCACTTTGCAAATACATGGCGTAAAAATTGGAACCATACAAAGAAGATTAGTAGGGCTACGAACTTCAAGAGTTCCTCATTTTCAACCATCTCCGCAACTCAGTTGTTTAACAGACCTGCGTGACTCCTTCAAGATTTTAGAACTGCGAACAGCACAACAAACGATACTCGCTACGATATGTAGAAGCACTTGACTGATATATGCGTGGACATGTTCTGACTTATTGTTTTACCAGGGCGTTATCTCCCCCCGGGGGCTTTATGTGTCATTGACCAGTCCCTGGACCGCTGGTAGTTGGACACGGTCATCGATCACAGCGTTGAATGTGAGCTTCGTATGCAAACCACCTCCAGTCATGTAGCGTATGTTCTGCATGCATGTATACACGCACGAGTACACACCAAGGTACATGGAAAGGCATACTTACAGATGCACGAACTAGGCTATGAGACCCCCAGCCCCCGGATGGAAATCCCTGACTGTCAGATACACCCTTTGACCTTTGAGGTAATGCCGGCCACTTATTATTCCTCAGGGCATCAAAGGACGAAGAGGAGCTCAAATTTAAACGTGTGCAAATGTTCACCCTAAGGAGGGTCAAGGGCAAAAGTGAATCATGCAGTCATTAAAGAGTTCCTTATGCCTCCGATTCTGTATTTTATCAGTCCTGGGTCAAGGCCTCAGGTAACAATCCTATCAACCGTGAACCTCTCAATTACCAGAACGAGTATATTTCCAGTTGTAACTTTCAGAATTTGAAAGAACATCTTTAAAAAAAAAGCAATTGGAAGTGAAAGGTACGACACAGATTTTTTTTACAATGCAGGGGTCGCCAAATCCCCGGGGCAGGGCCCGGGGCTGGTCCATTAAAGGTTTACTCCTGTGGTGAAGCATTTTTCTGTTATACTTGTCCTTAGTATTGGTTTAAATGTCGACATCCACATACATTACGTGACAGGCTCTCAGTAACCGTCGTCATCTGCACGACAGGAAAGAATATATCCAGTCACCCAGAATATGTGCAGTCCAAATATGTAGAAGTCAAAGTTGCTGGAGTCGGCAGCTCAGTGCAGACTTCAGATTTCCAAAAGGAAAAAAAATCCATAACACAGCTATAAATTAGCTCTGCCTCCCACTGTGGTGTGTGTGTATAACTGAAATGCCAGGATGATAAACAGGAATATGTTAGGCAGCGTAATCTTGTTGTTGACAAGAAAGGTCAATCAAATGCATCACTAAATCCACACGAGCACCGACTCCAGACATCAGCACTAATATAAATATGGATGTGGATTTGACCTCCGGGACAGGTCGCAGCACGCACTGCCACGCTGACCTGCAATTTTTTTTTTTTTCAAAAGCAAATTACAGGAAGCAAGTGAGGACAAACTGATTCAGTCTGTGCCAGGTCACAGGGTTCATGACTCTACAAGTGGCTGCTATTGGTCAGCTTGTCTAAGGAGCAGGTTTTGAAAATATCTTTCCAGCTGTCTGGTATGATGAATTTGAGGATACACATGGGACATGAAGGTGTGTGTGAAAATGACGTGCAAATACGACCATGTTCGGGCACTGCTGTACACCAGCTGACCAAAGTTTACATCAACAGTACTTTTAGCCATTTAGCGGTTGCTCTGTGACTACACAAAAGTGACAAACGTCAATGTATAGTCTAATACAGCGGTGTCGAACTCATTTCCACCAGGTGGTCCATTCAAATTTTACTCCTGTGGTGAAGCATTTTTCTGTTATACTTGTCCTTAGTATTGGTTTAAATGTCGACATCCACATACATTACGTGACAGGCTCTCAGTAACCGTCGTCATCTGCACGACAGGAAAGAATATATCCAGTCACCCAGAATATGTGCAGTCCAAATATGTAGAAGTCAAAGTTGCTGGAGTCGGCAGCTCAGTGCAGACTTCAGATTTCCAAAAGGAAAAAAAATCCATAACACAGCTATAAATTAGCTCTGCCTCCCACTGTGGTGTGTGTGTATAACTGAAATGCCAGGATGATAAACAGGAATATGTTAGGCAGCGAAATCTTGTTGTTGACAAGAAAGGTCAATCAAATGCATCACTAAATCCACAGGAGCACCGACTCCAGACATCAGCACTGATATAAATATGGATGTGGATTTGACCTCCGGGACAGGTCGCAGCACGCACTGCCACGCTGACCTGCAATTTTTTTTTTTTTCAAAAGCAAATTACAGGAAGCAAGTGAGGACAAACTGATTCAGTCTGTGCCAGGTCACAGGGTTCATGACTCTACAAGTGGCTGCTATTGGTCAGCCTGTCTCCCTTTAACTTTCTTTATTTAAAGATAATCTGGCAAAAACAGGTGGAACTGGCTGAACAGTCCTTGGAACAAAAAAGGTCAGGGACCGCTGGTATAGATGTAAATAACAATGACTAAAATGACTAAAACATGTTTTAATTTCTCAGGTTAAGAAACTCTGCTGCATGAACTTTAATAAATGCTTTTTAAGCTCCCGCGGGCCACACAGAACGGCTTGGCGGGCCACATTTGGCCCCCGGGCCTTGAGTTTGACACATATGGTCTAATAGAAAAAAAACATTTTTTAAATTTTTTTTTTTACAATTGTTCTTATAGTCTAATTTTAAATTTTTTTTTTTTTACAATTGTTCTTATAGTATACAAAGCCGCCACACACGAAACTTCCTCTTCACTTGTGTGCATATTTGCCAGTTGAGTGATACTGCATCTTATACACACAGATGCATGAAAAGGATCCATATTTAAACACGCAGCAGCCCATTGTCCTTAATTGCACCTGACAATCTGCTGCTGTATAATTCAAACCTGCGTTTCCGATTCCATAAATAGCCCGCGAGAGTGTGCGCTCACACACAAACAAATCACCTCGGTTGTTGGAGCCAACCCATGCAAACAACAGTGTATCCCCATCAGCATGTCGTCAGGGTTTTCCTGATCGACTGGGCCGCACCAACTCAAGCTGGTACTGAAGTTTTCTCATCGCAGTTCTACGTTCAACGTTCTATTTTTTTTTTTCCCTAACATCTTTGAAGAGTTCCGTGGTGACCATTTTGAGTCATAGAGAGCTGTTCAACATGTTGATACAGCTCCGTGACTGCTACACTCCGTGATTGCTATCATCAGTCTACTGACGACGGAGTAATGAAAAGCCAGGGAGGAGGACAGTACGTTGACATTTGGTGTGGCGTTCTGTCCAATCACTACACACAGTCAGGAATTGTCACTCAAACTGATGGATTATAGCCATCAGTTGAGCACACGTTCTCAGAACACTATACGGTAAGACCTCGTAAGAAAGACACACTGACCTATCAGAATAGCATACATGTAGTTATATTGCACTGTATGCTAATCTGACGGGTGAAATTCAGCTATCGGAGGAGCATACGTGTAAGGTTTGCAGTCCAGTAGTTGTCATTTTATTTATTACTTATACGTTTAAAATACTTACTTCCTTTTTTTTTTTGCACATACTCAGTAGTATGTAGTATCCTATTCTGACGGCATATGCGGCCAACATCAGAAAAGTCCCCTTGTAATATCGTTGGTGTCCAACGGCAGGCACGGGGGCCAATATTGGCCCGCAAATGTCTCACATCTGGCCAGTGAGTTGATATCAATAAAAATGTTCTATTTCATGTCATTTAAAAAAATATATATTTTCAATAGTTATTGTTTGATTATAAAAACACTATGAAAGTATTATATAATAGCATAATAGTAATAGGACTTTGTACAACAAGTGAAACGAGTGCTGAACAGCAACAACGAACACAACTTTCTGATACATAAACTTTTAGAAGAAGGAGAAATAAAGAACTGCCATGGTCAGGGAATGGTCTTTTTTTTTTCCATCTACAAGACCAAGCAGAGCAGAAAGGTTGATATGAGGACTGTAGCTGTCAGAGAGTGACCGGTGACAGGAGCCCACTTTATCACATAAAGGCCATATGTTCCAGGACATGCTGAGCAGCTCGATTGATTTCCCGTCGAGTTGAAAGACAGGTTCAAGGCACCTGGGGGGAACATCAACTCGGGGAATCACACGTGTAATGATGTATCGGGTTTTCCCCCCCAAAAACGCCGTCAAAGACAGAGCACTCATAGGCTCAGAGTGAGAATATCTTGACACTCCCCATTACTCACAGAGCCAGGGTTCTGAGGTAGGAAGCAAAGGGCTGGAGATGCGATGCATATTGACAGGACGTTTAGGCTACTAAAAGATACACAATGTCTGTGTCAAGAGGAATCAGCTAAGCTTTGTTGCGTAAAGTAGGTGAAGTTTCTTTTTATAAGCACTTGTTTTTCGATAGGCTGAATATACACTGTAAACGATGAACTGACACCAAAAGATATTCAGAGGGTGACACGCATTTAGGCAGAATTGTAATTTAGCTTAAATTGTGATTTAATGTGCAACTTAAATGCGATGTAAGCTTGTTGATTGTAAGCAATTAAAAAAAAAAAAACGAGAGCATTAAGTTGGATCTACATATTAAAGTGTCCTCGTAGATTAAACCAGTGATTCCCAAACACTGTGCCGTGGAAAATATTCAATTTCACTTAATGCACGAAAATGCTGAACAATTAAATCCTCTTCTGCTAGGTGGCAGCAGAGGGCTATAAAAACTAAAAAAAAAGAAAATCAAAGCTGTTGAAGAAGATCTTTGTGAGTATCTTTCTTCAATTCCTGCCAATATATCAGCGTTGTCTTCAACTAAACAGGCTGAGATTTTAGTCAATTATGAGGTGATTTAAATTAGAAGATTATTATATTTCATTACATATAGTTTTTGGGCGCTTTGGCCTAGAGGCAATGTCTCTGTCATTGGTGTGGAACCCCAGGGTTCAGCTCCTGGGCAAGTTCAAATCCCGGTTAGGGTGGTTGGTACCTTCCAGTGGACTCACCACCCGCAGGAAGGTTCAGGGGGGTTGGTACGGTGCAATGTGATGGGGCGGGGCCTCCCCCCCAGGCAGCCCGTTAACGGATAAGCGGATGAAAATGGATGGATGGACATATATTTTTTGTGGGATTTCTGTTTGGTGGTGTGCTCTAGGTTTTTTTATATGTGCCATGGCTCAAAAAAGGTTTGGAAAGTTCAGTGAAGTGTTAGTGTATGTACATAGGCATGGTGAAAAACGACTTTATACAATTTGACACAGCAGTCACAAGTCAGAGCTTCTAGTAAATGAGCGTCACGACCAGGATTCCTACCTCTTTGAAGCATGGCGAGGGGTTTCGCATTTGCTCCAGCATCGCCCATTTGACGGAGGCCTGTCGAATGTTGCCATCGTACTCCCTCGAGCTCTGGGTTCCACTGGGGGTCCCTCGGGAACGTTCATAACCTGGTTCGTTGAAGTAAGGCTCTGTCACCAGGATGAGGGACTGCACTGACACTAGCACCTACAGTAAAGGAAGGAAAAAAAAAAGAAGAAAAAAAAGAACTCGTTAGGTGGACCAGGAGCAAGGAGAAGTTTGAACTAATGATTACTTTCACTTCATTTATATTTCATGACTGCCCCAACAGGGTTTTTGACTTGGATTAATCACACAATTAATTTGTTGCCATGCATAAAATATTCACATTTCATCGTGATTATATCTTGAGATCAATTTCATACATTTAATTAATTATGTTGCATGTATAATTACAAATTTGTTACATAATTAATAAAGCAGTGAACCACCCCTTGGTAAACCCGTGACTGATTCAAAGACTTTTGGGAGGAAAAACAGGATAACAAGAGTCTGACGAGGCCCAGAATATTTCGCCCCTGTAAAAGATACATCTCTATTAACAGCCCTAATGATGACTGTCCTGTCTCAAGGAGACAGAGGACGTCCTCTTACATCACTCTGTCTGTTCCAGGACACTACATTACCAATAATGACAACTGTGGGCTTGGAGGCCTGCCTGCTGGCCTTAGCCGCACTGGAGGTTGATGAACTTGAATACGCTCCATCACAAAGACTCCGGTAATGTTATCTGAGGGTCCTAAAACGAGATTCCTGTGTTTCAAAGCCAGTATCCATCAAGCCCGACGGCCCCCCCTTGTATCCATCCTGCTCCTTTGTCCACAATTCTCCCACCCGCTTCTTTCCATTATTGATCCACAGCACACTAACGGGAATGATAATCAATGGGGACATCTCTATACACTCTCCAACATTGCAAATGGCAGAATTTTAAAAAAAGTGGGAACCCCCCCTTTTTTTGTTTGTTGTTGGATCGATGCAACCGGATGAAAAGGGAGAGTTTCCATTTTGTCCTCCCAGTGTCCAGCTCGCTAATGCTGGACGTTAAATCCAGCCGAAACAGCACAAATATCCTCTAACCAATGCTTTTCTATATACTCTTTACATTTGATCAATGAACCTGTACTTTGAAGGAAGTTGTCCCATTAAGAGGTGTGTTGTTTTGGCATCATATCATATAGCAAGTACTGATGTTTTCCCAAATCAAAAACCCAAATATTATTTTGAAGACATCGGGGCTGTATGTAATTCTGAATATTTGAGCTGAATGAATTGTGTCTTTGGGTACATCCTGAAGGTGTAAGTGATATCGGTTTATGTTACATTACCATTACCATCGACACACTGCCGTACAAGGAAATAATATATTAACTCGGAAAGGAATTCTTCATCTCAGCTGGCCGAAACACTGAACCTATTACTAGAGAGCCGGTGGCTGTTTATTTCAGAGAAGACAGCGTTGAGCTCACCTGTAAGAAGCTTGAGGTCTGAGGGTTCCATTTCTCCTCTGGTCTCCCGTGCCACGTGTTGAGGATACTTAAACACACCTGACGAGGTAAACACATGACGCCTAATGAGTCGCAGCAATGACTGGTGCGACACACAGGAAATAAATAAACCCACAAATATACGCTACACGAGAGCCGCAGCCTAATGAGTCGCAGCAATGACTGGTGACCTTCCGCACCTTGACTCCACTGCCTTAATGGACGAGAGCCAAGTCCAAGATGGTCAAGCCCCAAGGGACGATAACTTTTAAATGTCAAGTTGGAATCAAAATTTCTGGCAGAGCTGGAAAGGTCTTCACATTATCATGAGGAATCTGTTACATAACGACCATCATTGGTAAGAGGTGGGGAATACTATTATAACATTTTATCATGTCCTGGATAAAATCATTGAAGATGTATTTTAAATTATGAGTGACAGAACTGAACACGTCCGTCTCTGAGGTCTCTGACCTCTGCCCTCGCCGCTTCTCCATTTCCACCCTCGCCTTTAAAAAATGAAAGTTGCAGGGAGCTTATGAAGGGCTTCTTCTTCCTCAATTTATAAGGTCAGCCCTTATTTTTCTGAACAGTATATGGAGGCATTCTCCATATGGATATCTAGGTCACTTTCAAATATTGAAATGTTATCGACTGAAATACAATTTCTAATTAACAGGGATATAATTAATCATGAGGAAAACAGACGGAGAACCACGGCAGGTTAATGTGTGGATGCATGGACCCTGGGTACGAACAACTGCTAAACTGTTCAATAACAGCCTGGTTGTTAGTCAAACATGTCATCTGCGCCATCTCTATTATCATAGTGCGGCCCATTTAAGGCTTTTTTTTTAAATAGCTAATATCATTATTTGCCAAAAAAGGACACGCAATTCTATCCAACTGTCACCTGACACCTTGGAGACCGGACAATCCAAAAAATATGAAATAAAAATCACAATTTTGTCTAACATTGTAATTTGATTTTAATTTTGGAATCCAGTTTCCTGATTGGACAGTTTAAGGGGTCGGAGTGTACTGTAGTTACAGATGCAGACAATGTTGTTTAGTTGTTTACTCTTCATAGAGACATCACTAAGTTTTTATACATTATTTATTCCTATTAAAAAAAAATCTAAAAATATTTATCCTAAATAAAACAGTTTACAGAAAGATTTTCAGATTTTGAAAGGTTACGTTACACTTTCAGGTGAGAGAACTTACTTTGCCGTCATTGTACAGATTGGGGTTAAAGCGCACACTGTGTCCGCCTGTAGTCTCCAGGTTGACCAGCGGGGGCGAGTTTGGATAGTCCTGGGGAAAATACACGTCGAACTCAAAGCAGCCGTTGGCGTACGGGGTGTCAGCTGGGCCTGTGATAAGAACCTGTTAACGAAAAGAAGAAACTTATATTAAAAAAAAAAGGCCAGAGAAGTTGCAGTGAATTAATCACACAGTGAAAGTATTAATTAAAAGATGTGTACACGCTGATTACAGGAGGGCGGAAGAAAATCGATTACAAAGAGGAAGAGAAGAACTTTTAATTTACTTCAAAATTACAAAAAAAAAAAAAAAAAAAAAAAGCAGTCTGATAAACAGAATGTGGTCAAATAAACCAAGGAAAATATCTGTCCAATCCACATTACCTATGATAGGAGAATCCAATTAACCCATTGACTTCACTTTGATAATGAGCCAAACAAACAAAGGAACTCAAGGGTTTTAGAAGACTTACAAAAAGTTCTCAGAGCTAAACAAAGAATTTCATAAAATAGATAAGACATAAAAAATAAAAATATAAAAATATATAAATATAAAAAGAAGAAGACTGCCAAGAAAAAAAAAATTTTCTTTAGTGTCAGCCACAATTGAGGTATTTAGACGTAACCAACACATTTGGAGAGTAGAACAAAACCAACTGTGGCACAAAAATTCAGACTCTGCTGAGAATAACCAATAGGCTTAGGCGAGGTCTAGAGGTGATCCAATAAGATCACCTTGAGACATTGTGCAGCGGAAAAAACATCGTTACGTCCGAAACCTCCTACCTTCATGATGTCCAGCCTCTCCTCGTCGCAACGGACAAAGACGCTTGATGAAGATGACAGGGGCAACGATGTGGACAGGGTGACGGCTTCCTGCGCGAGGCGCCGAGATCGAGCCGCGCTATTGGTGTCGCTGGCGTTCTTCACCTGAGACATGTAGTGGTAGTTGACCTTGAACATAAGCTTCCCGTCCTCGTCCTCGGAAACCATTTCAAAAGTGTCTGAGAAGAGGTGAAAGTTCAAGTCAGTCAAGTCAGGGTGATGTTGCTTATCTAATAAGCTGTTTTTTTTTTTACGTGTAAAGTAACAGTTTATACTTTATAGTCAACTTCAAAACTCACCAAACTGTAACTTTTTCATTGCCGCTACATATTTCTCCTCCAGCGAGCGCAGGATGGAGAGGGGCTTCTGCCGGGTCGACGCCTTCCTTGAAGACTCCACCAGCTTCCTCTCTGTAAGAGAAAGGGATTTTGGGACGGCGGACAAAGCACAAAACATTGTAAAACAATCAAATAAATCAATCGTAGGAAACGGTCCGTCGTAAAATGTGTGACAGTAAAACAAAAAGGCCTGATTAGATCTTTTCCCTGCTATGAAAATCCAGCAGGACAAAGCCATTCGTCACAAGAGTCACCTCGGCTACAGCCAAGGCAGTGATCCTTATCTAAGACAAACATGTAGTACACATAGGCACGCATTCACTCGACTCAGGCACTGGAAATAAGACGGATTACCTCAGCCGTACACGTTAGAGTGCCGTTGGAAAAACATGCACCAGAGGTCAGGTTTTATATTTGGTGTCCGTTCTCCACAACGTGAGGACTAAATGCAAACTGAACGCAAGTGGGTGTTTTGAAAGCGCAACAAAACACATGTTAACATATTCAGTAACGGACATGGGAGTGGTATCTGACTGGTTAGAAAAGTGAGAATAAACGGGCAGGAGGTTTTTGTGAAAATGAGTGTTCAATTTAGCTGTTTGTTCGTTTTAAAAAACGCAAACAGTTCCCCTTTGAAATACACTTGTTTAGCAATTTTCCCAAAAATATTTGCCCATTTAGATGCGGAATAAAATACCTGCTATATTAGGGACGGCTCAATATTCTAATATCATGTCCGATTCCGATACTGCAACTGTGAGTATCTTCCAAAATCTATAATAATCGGACACTCTCTCCTCGCCTCTCCTCTTCCTCGGTTAATACTGTACAGTTTGTGTCTGATCGTGGCTCCTCTCGGAGATGCCTCTCTCCTAATTAAACGATTATACATCTGTCACGACCCTAATGTTGGAGGCTGGGCAGTGTCCAGCTCTGTATGATATGTGACTCCCAGGGCCTTTTTTTTTTTATATGGATTTCTGTACAGGAAGTGACATGACATTGATCTTTTTACATATCTCCTTCCCCCACATCGCACACTTGTGCCACATCTAATGGCCGGCTCCACACCTAAGTGATCGCCAAGACGACGCTCGTGAGAACAGAGCATAAAAGTCTTCAGAAGGAGCTTGAAGAAATAGTGGCTGGGGGGATAATTAATCGTGTGTACCATGTAGCGGCGAGGTAATGGCGGAGGTGGAATGATTCATCACGCGGAAGACAGTGATGGCACTACTTGCTTCGGTTGAGTAATGGGTAGCACGGAGACGGATTTTTTTTTTTTTTTTTTTTTCAATTTTCAATTTTTTGAAAAATGTATGATTTTAAGGTGGTAGATATTTGAATCTATACACTAATAATACTACATAGAATTATATAAAAATTTAGAAAACTTTTTTTTGCAGATTCATAATTTCTGGCAAGTGGACTCACTGCCTTCACGCCTGCCAGTACACTGTCAGTTGCCTCGGCTAACTTCTGTAAAATATGGCGTATGATTTTTTCCAAAAATACAGGCTTTAAATCAACAAATCTGTTGTACCGTGACTTTGGCCCATTTCCTTAAGACTGTAGGGTCACGAGCAACTTTCCAAGACTACGATGGATTCTCCAAGTGACTGAAAAATAGGATGGATTTTAAGTCCCATTTGGATTCTATCTATAATGGGGATATCAGAGCAGCCGAATGTGCAAGTGAAAAACGACGAGACGAGAAAAGCTGGGACATATTGAGACATCTGAGATAAAGCTGAAACGTCTGGGTGTCAGCTGAAAGATCAGATATTCAAATGGCACAGACGACAGTTTCGAATTGCAGAGTGCAACTTCACATCCTCACTGATACACATTTTCAGTGAAGTTGGGTTTATGCCGTACAGAATGTTACGTACGATTACGTATCCATACCTGACCAGACAGGGATCGGGCTGAGATTTGAATCAAACAGTGAAAGATGGTAAGAAAACCCCACGGTTACGTACCCTGGTTGGCCTGCCGCAGGCTGGTGGTAGCAGTGTACACTATCTCAGCTGTCCTCTGGATGTCAGGCACCAGGAGAGTCAAACCCTCAGGCTCTGGATCTGAGCTATCGGTCTTCATAACACCTTTGCTCTTATCTTTCTTGGACCTAGGAAACCAACACAGTAGGATTCAGTCATAATACACTGCCTCTTTAAAACAAGAAAAATAAAAACATTTTTTGATGAAGTAAATGCACATGTTAGGGTCTATAATATGCAATACATTAATAGTTTAAACATCACAGTCAAATATATCCAATGTGCTGCTGCATCAGATATGAACATTCTAATAACAAAGTCAATAACAGCGGAACTTTTTGCCAAGCTGCGGCCGTTTATGAAGCGGGGCTTGTCGTGCAACCTTTCTAACTCCTCGGTACCAGTGAGGATACAAGAGCGATGATAGGGCTTCAGCTGAGAAGAAGACAGATTGAGAGGAGGAGATTATGAGTCTGGATTGAAAAGGAGAGACACTGCAGGCTTTTACCAGGGTGCAGATCAAATGATGCATTTAAATACTCTGGGTAAGACGGCTTCTTAAAAATATTTGGGCGGTGGCGAATCTTTTCCTCATTGTTTAAACGTATTGCTAATCACACACTATTAAACGCGGTGCTAATTGTGATAGCTAACATTAATACTTAATCAATAGTCTTAGTCTTTGACTTAATTTTTACTAAGGTTAGTTGAAATTCAGTTATTGTTACTGTTTTACATTACAAGTTTAGTCTTAGTCAAACAATCTGAAAAAAGTAAACAAATCATTTTTGTTCACTTCATTTTTAATAAGTTGAGCAGAATAAAAGGTCAAGTGTAATTTAATTAATTATTATATAAATAAATTTTATAATAAAAAATGTTTATGGAATGTGTGGATGTATATAAAATATATAATACCTTACATTTCTATTTGAAATACATTTCAAATAGATACAAATACTATATTTCCTTTCACGATCAAGTGATAGTTGCGGTCCTCAAAAATGTCTTTACTTATTACATATTTCAAATGATATAAATTACATCCAGCTTACCTGAGGCGATTGGTGTAGGTGTCGACACTGGATCCATCTTACCTGAGGCGATTGGTGTAGGTGTCCACACATGTCTTCATCTTGGCAAGCAGCATCCCAACGGAGGTCTGTCCCTCAGAGTTTTCTTCATCACCCTCCTCCTCCTCATCTCGGCTTGGGTCTCCAGACAGAGGAAGCAGCAGAGGGACCAGAGCAGAGCAGGTGGAAATGGCTCTCAGCAGCTCCAGCAGCGCCCGATACAAAGGTACATGGCGAGCCATATCCAAAACTAAAACAAGAATGTAGAAAAGGTTAAAGAGACAACCACGACAGTGCGGGTTTAATTAGTAGAAATATAATAAAACACATTGTTTTTCATTTGCAAAAAATGCAACTATAGCTAGGCCCCACCAGACAAAAGAGCCTCGAGAGCGATGTCACTTAATTGGTCCCAAAATATTATTTATTTATTCCAAATATTTTTTTCTTTGTTCGTCAATGCATGACGGGCAGCGCAATCAAATCTTCTTCCACTAGGTGGCAGCAGATGGTTATTAAAACTAAGAAAAGATAATCAGAGCTGTTGAAGATCTGAGTGTCTTTCTTCAATTCCTGCCACTATGTGAGCGTTGTCTTCAACTAAACAGGAGTAGATTTTTTTTTTAGTAAATTTGAACTAGATTATTTTTATATTTCATCACATATACTTTTTGTGAGATTTTTTGTTTGGTCGTGTGCCGTGGATTTTCTTTTTGATGATATACAGTACGTATATGTGCTGTGGCTAAAAAAAGGTTGGGAAACATACATACACCATGATGGGCGGTGGTTTAGTGTGCGAGAAAGTACGTGCGAATCCATAAGCTAGCCTTCAAGTGCCAGTTTCAAAATAAACAGAGCAGCTCTTGTTTGTGTCCCTCGGACTATTTTACATTTATATTGAAATTCCTGATTCCCCACTGCTACTGCACAACACTGACCTTCCCAGGCATTTATCTGCTCTCAAATCCTTTTACCAGTGTCTCCGTTAGGCACCTAGCATAAAATTCCAATTCCTTCTGGATCCGGTATTCACAACTAATCACACTCCTTTTGCGTTAAGCCAATGGCACACTCGGTTTTCTCTTGAGCCATGATATCCTCAATAAATCAGAAAAGAAAGAGGGCCTTTGCCTTTGTCACCACCCATGCAGTTATATAATGAATATTAAACGCTACTAAATACGAATAAAAGCGATAACTTGGATTCACAACAAAATGTGAAATGACTTTAGATGATACATCTGAACCAAACCAGATGCTTTTTTTTTTTAAATACCTAAAAGCAAAAGCAACTAAATATATTGAAAAATATATTGAAAAATATAATAAAAACAAGTACAATTTTAAAAGTCCTACAGAGTAGACATGTGGGAGACTTGTGTTTTCTAAACTTTTTTTCTGGGGACCCATATTTTAAAAGTCACAAACCTTCACAACCCAAGTCAATAGACATTATTCGTAAACCCCTGGTAACCATGATGCGAGACGACCCACCCCAAAAAATCTTGCGACCCACCTGAGGGCCGCGACCCAGTCTTTGGGAAACAATGAAATAACGTACTTCACCAACTTCACAGGATTACAAACATACGTATCAAGTTTTGTTTCCCATGTTATTGTGATTGCAAACGTTCGGCACACGCCTTTAAAAAGTTACGTGAACCGGGCGTTGCTGTTTCTATAAAAACAACATATTGTCACAGGAACTAAAGAAACAACGTCCATCACCGGTTGGAGGTCAGAACGGTGGTGCGGAGGAAGCAGTTAAAAGACAAATCAGAGCAGCCACAGGACGACCAGCAGCCCAAGGAGGCAGGACATCCATCACAATTATGACAATCTTGGTAGTGCTGACCTGAAGTTATCAGTGTTACGAACACTGAAGCCTCTACTTATGATTTAGTGCCTTCTGGTGGGGGAAGGCGGCAGCATACAGAAATGTGTCTGGACATTGGCCATGTTGGATGTCCGAGCTGATGTAATATATATATATGAAGGACTCAGGACTGTGACTTAGCATGCCATGTGGACGGCCGGCTTGAAATGGCTACTACTGAACGTTGATGACTCCCTGTTCGCCCATGCACTCGGACGTACATTCAACTCCATAGCCTCGCCGCTATAGTGACAGAAAGTTGCATCTGAATCAATGCGAGACACTATTATAAAAAAAAAAGCTACACTCCTAATTTGTTGTGAATTTGCACATTTATTTTGCTTGATTTTAGCTTAGTATTTATTTCAACATGGGATTTTTTTCTAACAAAAACTGTTCTTTAAAGTGCTATTTTCTCCAAATGTTACACCAGTAGGTTCCCTTCCCATGCTGGTGTAGAACAAAAATAAAAAATAAAAAAAACTCATTCTTAGCTTATATTTTTTACCGTCTCTCGGAAGTCAAATTTTTACCCTATTATTAAAAATAGAGTTAAAGTTCATGTGAAATGTCAGCTTAAATTTTAATTTTAAAACATAACATATTTTTCTCAAAGGGAAAACATTGTCTTTTGTCAATTTTAAATTGGCTCACAGTTAAAAAAAGATTTTTTTCAGCCCGAGTTAAAACTGATAAGACACGAAACTCTAGGTTTCGTTTTGTTCTGGACCTGCAATGAATACCAGGCATATTAAATACGTTTTGCCTCTTGTAAAGAAAGATACATATTTTATCCTATTTAAGTATAGTACCTTTTTCCTTCAATGTACATAACATATGTTCAAAGTGCAAGGCAATTGTGCACCAGTACCAAATGCCAAATGGAGAAATTCTAATTAACCCCTTAACCCTTGTTTTCTGCTAGTGTCTCCGATTCCACTATTCATCCAATTTAGTCCTGACTCTTTCCTAAAGTTGGTTGTAAGACTGGTACGTTTCTGCAATTAAAGCCAAAAGAATGACATTTGGTATTTAGTTGGGGGAGAAGAAAAGGCAAGGGGGCATTCACGCAGAAAAGAGCATTACTTCAAAAACAGCGTGTTGAGACATATCGGTGCTGTTAATTAGTGGTGCTGTATACAAAACATGTATCAGGATTTTAAAAAGAAATGACTGGAAAATCAATAATAACTTGTAAAATTAAATGAACAATTATATATAAGATATTAAAAAAAAAAACCTAAAACCCAAAACAACACCAGTAATTTATGAGAAGCCCTAAAACAACACCAGTAATTTATGAGAAGCTCGCTGTTTGGGTTCCTGGAACAATGGCTCATTAAAAGACGAACTGTGCAAAACGATTGGTCCACTGGTTGGTGCTGAAAACGAGTGTGGGTGTTTCATCAAAACACCGAAGACACAGCCCTTGTATTCATGTAGTATTTAAAGTATTCATGAAGCATGAATCAACATATCCCGGTAATCTGCTGCAATCATTTTTAACTGCTACATGTAGCTAGCGTTAGCATGGCAACGGAATTGAGAAACCAACACAATAATATATTTAGCGGTAATTAAATTATACCATAACAATATATACAATATATATGTTGCTTGCTGCGCAGTTTTACAGAGTTGTAAAATAATAAATAAATATTCTTAAACCCATTTTAAGGGTACGAAAAATATTAAACCCAAAAATATGCCATAACGTGTTAGGGTATGAAAAAGATTAAACCCAAAAATATGCCATAACGTGACTGTTTAGTTTTGACAAAACAGTATAAATTAACTTACTTAACTTTTTTTTTTTTTTTTTTAAACTGGCTGCCTTGCCATCCAAAGAGAAGCATAATTATACTCAAATTTTTTTTTTTGATTTCAGGATTTTTATCTGGGTGGCACTGAAAACTATATTTAACCAGGCAAAGAAAGATAAGTCTTGTCTCCTTAAAGTTATGGTTATTAATCTTATATCCTGCTTTATTAACCAGGGACTGCTTTAATATGGCGTAGTCTAACAATCTGTACTTGACAGAGTATTGTGAATAAAGAGTATCCTTCGACTTAAATACGAGACATAGAGCGGGAAATGTCATCTTTCATATCTGTTGGCAAAATGTTTATGTTTATACGGATATTACACTCCGCATGTAGGGTTAGTTTTGAAGGAGGCATGACAACCTTCGGGCAATAACTCAAATTAATTAATTAATTTAAAAAAACTTCTTCCACCCAGAGGACGGATTGTTGAGAAATGCTTTCGTGTGGGAAAGTTTCCCACATTTTCTATTCATACTCTCTTTGCTGATTCCGCAAATTTCTCATTGTCACTATTTCTTAAACCTCAGCGCATAATCCATCCATAACATTTTGCCGCAAGTATGAAGATTCAGTGCTCGTCCTGTAAAGTTGGCTAAAATGTTACAGAGGCTCGATGTTCTTGCTGAAGAACCCAATTACCGTGGTCTTTTGGTTTTATTTTTATATAACGGCCTTATTGCTCATTAGTCCATAGGCCGTACGTGATTGTAGAAACTTTATGAACAGGCAAAGTATGACGTGAACAGAGAGGTTTTGCGCTCGCGGAATAAGCGCGAACCAGCCTTAGAATCTAGGTCGCTGAGGCTGAAAATTGGTAATGGGTCAGGATTCAAAATATAAGGGTTCCCTATTAACTCTAAGATTATTACTATATATACCTTTCAATGTCCAGGGTCATGACACCCTGGTGGAGGGTCTGTCCTTTGGTACTAAATGACCAAAAAAAACACAATAAACTTGGGATGAAAGCTGCCTCAAAACAACAGTCTACGGCACAATTATCCACTGTATTCATGAATTATACACACATACGTGGATCGTGCTCCGACCACACCGGCAGTTTTGTTAATGTCTCTGTAACAACAGACTCAACCCTGTGCTGCAATAACAAAACCCCTGAGAAAACAGGACATGACAGTCATTGGTCTTCTTAAACCCAGGCTTCACACACACCCACTGGTGTACCGTGCGGCTCAATAATAAACCAAAGCTATAAAGCATAAAACGGCTTACAACGGAGTTGCCAACTCGTGGACCAACACAAGAACTGGGGTGTGGGCTGTTGGCCAAGACAAAGGGCAGATATTTAGTATCCATCCATCCATCCATCCATCCATCCATATTCCACTTCATTATTTAAAAGACTGCAGAGGAAGCTTGCCATATATACTAGCAATAATACACAACCACTGTAAGTCTACTAAACAATGCTTTTCTAGTTTCTTCATGAGCCTCGACATCTAGGTGTCTCTCAAATCCCAATAACATTTCTCTGTATAACCTATTCTTTTGCATATGTGCATTGGTCCCATGCCATGGAAATG